TGGTGATGGATGGTGCACTCTTTTCTTTTTACAGCGTCTGGAGGAGAGTTCGGGTGCCTTCAAAACTAAAGCATTTTATTTCGAGGTGCTGTGTTGGAGGTCTAGGTATAGCAGTGAGGGCAAGCTTAGTGAAAAGGAAGATTGCTTTTGATGAGAGTGGTCATTTTTTTTGTAAGGATCATATATGGTGAGACAGTCCTTCAACTTTTTTACCTACTGCTGTTTGATTTTCAAGTGAAGGTGTTACATCATTCACGTTTGGTTTCCCAGCATGAAAGCTACCTGTGAAGAAGACACCAGGTTATTTGTATAGAATTTGATTAATTTCAACAAATGTTGAAATAAATTAGAGAGACGAGACCGTATAGATTTTTATCCAACATAATTAACGACGTGATTCATGTGAGTATGTGACCTCCCAGTTGGACTAAGAGGGGTGAAGTCCATTTTCGTGTGAATCATGAATTTAGCCTAAGACATCAAAACATGTAAAACGTGAGTCTCGTGAAAGCTTTGACTACATCTTCATTACATGGGTCCCTGTATGAGTGCGGGTCCTACAGTCAAATAATACAGGACTGGAGATAATAGTAAAATACTCACGTTGGTATAGATTTTTTGATGTGATAGTCAATAGATTGATATGTTTATCGTTAATTCAATGAGTATATCAATGGTTTATTATACTGTGCTATCTATTAGTGTGACCAACACATGTTGATTTGTTGAAAGATGCTAACATAATATAGTATAGTGTATCGTAATGTGTAGCAGTTACAGATTTACGTGAGTATATATAAAATAGTCACAAACATTACTAGATAAAATATATTTAGGTCCCTTCTCTAAAGTCTTGTATGCTAAATTTTTATATAAAAATTAATTTGGACATATATATATATCCAAATTATACAACAAATAAATTGTAATAAAAATAGATTTCGTCCGATACAACACTTGAGGCTGCACGAGGATAGAAACAAAAATTTTAATAATAATAGTGTACTTACCTTATTTTTAGAATATATTAGAAAGGTTGATTTGGTGGATTTAGAGTAAGAAAAAGGTTCAATTGTTTTTTTTTTTTAATATTTGCTAGTAAATTAAAACAGTTTATTTCAAAAGAATTCAATTTTTTTTAACTCAAATCTGACCTTCTAGAAATAAATGATGCGAGACGAATCTAGTATTCGGATATCATCTACAAATTACTACAATTATTAACTTCACATAATTGTGAGGAGATTGAACTTTTTGATCTCTAACAAAAATTTTAAACTTCATCTTTTTTTCTCAAAATCCTCTTACTCGTATATCATAAATCACTAAAACTTTATCTACTTGGATTTTGACTTTTCACCTATTTGTCATTTAATTCGTATTTTATCAACATTGTCTACTCTTCCTTTTATATCTCTTACTATTTGTATATATTCTATTTGAAATCAGTCTATTGATCTACTATTTGATCAATTCTCAAGATCCTTCACATAAAATGTGATAAAGAAAGGTACCAAAGATTTTACAAAGCAATTTGAGTTGAATTTACATTTCTTGAGAATAGTTTCAGAGAGAGAAAAGAGTTATATGCTAGAGTAAACTATATTTTTAGGGATAACAATGGTGATTGAAACTGATGATTAATCACCAAAATTGGTTATTTTTATTTTTTGTTAAAAAATTGGTTATGATTAATATGAAATGATTGATTTGATTACAATTGTAGTTATGGTTTTCATTATTACCGAATCAAAACAACGATATTTATCACAAATTTAGTATAAGTTTTGAAATATTATAATCACGTTGTTGATTATCAATAATTAGTATTTCATTTCTATTGAAAATATCTACGAAATTCAAACAAGATAAACTTGAACAATTGATAAAATAAAAATAAAGATGAGAGTAATAGAAAATAAAAACTGGTTCAAGACATTCTACTCTCAAATTACAATGAACCACTCACGATTTTCACGATTTTCTTAATGTACACTCATATAGAAAATCCAAACAAACTCTTTGATCTTTCAACTGCTCTTAAGGAACGAATAATGAAATAACAAAATGCGAAGCAAAAAAAATGCAAAAACGAGAATAAAGACAAGGAAAAAACTAGAAATTTATGAATGTGAAGCATTCAATGTTAGTAGGGGGTATATCAAAATGCACATAGGGAGGGGTTTATATAGAATTTGAAAAGTTCTCACGTCTCTTCCTAAAAGGTATTTCATGTAAAAAAACATATATCTTGTATTATTTTCTAATATTTTATATAATATGAAATAATATGTTTCTTATCTTGAAATGGTTCAAAGTATTTAACCATTTTTTGTGATTTCTTATATATGAAACATTGTATCCTTCATCATTGACATGGATTTTATTATAACCATTGAAGCCATTATGCCTATTCATCTAAATTCAATTTTTTTTTTTTTTTTTTATAATATTTCACCAAAGAGTATCTTTTCAAAAAGTCATACCATTAACATAAAGGCATTGGTTGACTCAGGGGAGCCTTTTGGGAGTCACTAGTTTTCCTTAATAAATTTTGAATCACATAATATTAAATAAAACCAACAGTTTCATGCTTTAATAATGCTTATTTTTTAATTTTTACCATGAGATTGATACTTTTCATTTTCATTTTTATACCATTATTATTATTATTATAAATGAATATTTTGTGTGGTTTAAGATATTTTGACTTAGAAAGCTTATTTATTATTGTTGTTATTATATATTTTTTTTATTAACATGTTCGTGTTGATAGGTTATTATTTGAATTCTATAAATTTATTTGTTCATTTAGGTTTATTTAAAAATACGAATAGTTAATGGTTAATCGAATGAATAATCAATAACCAATGATTGTGATTATTGATTTTTATTTTGGTTATGGCTATAGTTATATCTAAAACCGTAATCATGGTTAATCACTGCCTTTCCATTATATATTTCTCAACTATGGTTCAAAATTTCAATATTACATTAAAAGTTTTCAAAGAGTTTCAATTTTACTCCTAATAATTAAATAGGTACTGAAATCGAAGATGTCTACTTTTTGAATTATGTTTTTTTGAGTTTTTAAAGTATTTTATGAGATATATCACAAGTACATGAGTTTGAGAGAAAAACGAGAAAAAGACGAAATAGCGAGTTCTGCCAGCTATTTAAATGTCCGAGATAATATTGAAAGTGAAACTTTTACAAAACTACAATTATTTCCAGCAATTTTAATAATTCTTCCAATGGTAAATGTGTTGTGATAAAATTAAAATTTATCGAGTTATTAGTTTAAATTTACAAGGGACATTGGACTAAATCTATATAATAATTTTTTTTTGACACGTAGAGATAATTTTTTTTTCTTTATGGGGATGCTTGCTGGATTTTGTACTGAATAATAGAAATAATCCACTCTTATTATATAATTATCAAATAAAATAAAATTAATAAAACTCAAATTTATTTTATTAAAAAATTATTAAATACACAACCTTTAAATATGTTTATTTGTCTTACTTATTAATAAAAAAAGTAACTTGTGCCTACTTGTCTGGTTGCTAATAGAAACCAACAAGTGTGACTTGTCTTTGAACGTGAAAAATGATTTTAGTTAGGTTCACAGAAAGTTGCGTAAAATGCTTGATTTGATAATTAATTAAAAAGAAGAAAGAATAAAAAAAAATAATAATACTAGTAGTATTTGTAGTTTGTTGGTTGGTTGTGTTCCCGCCACAGAATCTGGGTGAAACGGTCTCCAAAAGATCCCTTTTTTGTCTGGTTTTTCCACTTAAAAAAAAAAAACCACATGACACATCTGTGTCATCATCTCTGAATTAAAACTTATTTTTGTGATTTACAGCTAATGATAATTTTAGTGAATTTAATTAATTTTATTAAATAGTGGTCCCAAAATTGAAATCCAGACAAACATATTTCCTTAACTATAAAGCCAGTTTACTAGAATTAATAAGTTTATTTTTAACAAGCAAAAGATATACGATTTTTTTTTCTGAATAAATTCATCATTTCAATTTTTTTTTTAATTGTGTTGTAAACATAACATATTTGTATTTTACTCACTAAAATTGATTATTGATACTTTTTCCAAGAATAAAACAAAAAACTGCAATTAATACCAACGTTAAATGCCATTATTAATTGCAATAAGGAAAGAAGAGACGATAAATTTTTTAAACAAATGCTCGTTCTGGTCTATGTAAGGGGAGAGGTGTGCTGAACACAAAGATGAATGAATTTAATCCAATCCAACAACCACGAAAATTCATTCTAAAAAGAAAAGAAAACATCCGCAAAATAAAAGAGTAGATAAATACAGGAATATTCGAGAAATAATTTGGTAATTTAGAAAAAATTCCTACATTGGAAGGAAATCAGATAATATTTGTCTTGTAGTTTTATGTAGACCATTACTAGCTTCTGCTATTTTTATTACCCAGAAAAAAAAAAAATTTGCAATAAAAACTAAATTTCTCAAAATCCTCAGACGCAGACAGAGACAGAGACTCAACTCCTCGCGAACTCCTCCCCACCACCACTAGTTCCTTATTCTTGTTCTCCAGACTCTTCTAAATCAAACCTTAATTTCTGTTTGTTTTTGACGTAACTGTCAGCTTGCTCAATCGTTTGCTTTTAAGTTCGCTCCCTGTAGAATTTTGATCAAAACTTTGCTCCTTGAATTCTTTTTTCTTTCCTTTGTCTTCTTCAGTCAGTGTTTAAGTTATTTTTTTTTAAAAAAAAAAGGAAAGGAAACATCACCAATTTGAAACTGGTAAGTGGTGTTTGAGTTGTTTTGTTTTGTTAAAAAAAAAAAAAAAGAAGGTAAAATTCTTCTTATTTTTCATGTTCGTATGAAAACGAATTATTGAAACATGTCCAGTCTTGTTTCCTTTTGATGGGTTTCCAAATTTTTATTTTCTCTTTTCATGTAATCGACTTGTGTTGTTTTTTTATTGTGAAGGTAGGTGGAAATGGCGACTGGGGCCGTACCAACATCGTTTTCGGGGCTAAAGATGAAGGAATCAAGGCTGGGGTTTGGAAAAAGCATGGATTTTGTGAGAATTTGTGATATAAAGAGGATCAAATCCGGTAGAAAAAAGATTTCAATGATTCGAAACTCCGATACTGGTCGTGAGATTGTTGAGCTTCAACCTGCATCAGAAGGGAGTCCTCTATTAGGTACCACAACAAACCATATGATTCCTGTTTTTTTAATCTGCCCAACTCTCTTTTTATTATTTTGATTGTTTATATGATTAGAAGTGATGATTTGAGACATATATGCTGGTTTTTAATGTGATTGTTAATGGAATATGATTGGTGCTACAAGATATATTTTCACATAAAACATAAAGACCAGATTTCTATGTATTCGTGTGTTAGTAAAGATGACTTAATATGGGTTCTCCTATATGCAAAGCCCTAAGCTTAATTGGGCAAAAATTGATGTTTTTCTTCACCTTCTTCTTTTTCAGAATTATGAATGTTCCATTCTGTTTATTTGAATGCAGTCCCAAGACAAAAGTACTGTGAATCTATAAACAAGACTGTCAGGAGGAAAACACGTACTGTAGCGGTGGGAAATGTGCTTCTTGGTAGTGAGCATCCTATACGGGTTCAGACTATGACTACAACCGACACTAAGGATGTTGCTGCGACACTTGAAGAGGTTCTTTTGACTTTTCTTCCATTTCAGCTCTTTCTAGTTGAACCATTGGTGTTTTACTGCTCTTCCGGCTTAGCAAGGAACTAGGCCAACCATAGTAACTCTTCCTATTTCTACTTCTGCTTAAAAGAGTGGCATGTGATTCTCTTCTTCACTGGTACTATTTTTCTAAAAAGAAAAAAAACCTATTGTAAACCCATGGTTTAATATATGAATAACTGGACTCTCTTTTAAACCAATGGTTTAATATATGAATAACTGGACTCTCTTGTAAACCCATGATTCAGTAAACAAATAGCTGTAATTTATTTGTGATATAATGACTGGATCTGGTACTAATCAAATCTGGTTTCACTACTAGTCTGTTGGAATTAGTTACTGATTGATTTCTCTGCACAATTCATTTTGATTGAAGACCTTGATCCTCAAGTTTTGATAGAGCCTGTCTGTCAGATGTTCTTTCTTTTCTTGGCAGTTTCATTAAATTAACTGCTGCTTATTTCGGTAGGTGATGAGAATAGCAGACAAAGGAGCAGATATAGTTCGTATAACAGTTCAAGGGAAGAGAGAAGCTGATGCTTGTTATGAAATAAAAAACTCCCTCGTGCAGAAAAAGTAGGTTTTTTTTTTTTTTTTTTCCTTAGATAAATAAAAGTGGGTCTGATTGATTATAAGAAACCTTTCAAACCATGTTTTATATTTGGATCAGCTTTGTCACCAACTGCTGTATTTATGCAGCTACAATATTCCTCTGGTTGCGGATATTCATTTTGCTCCATCTGTTGCATTGCGAGTAGCTGAATGTTTTGACAAGATTCGGGTCAACCCAGGAAATTTTGGTAAGCCGGAAGGCCCTTCTTCTATTTTTCTTTAGGTAATGAATGCAGCCATTCGGAATTCATTGAGATGGTTCATTGCAGCTGATAGGCGAGCTCAATTTGAGAAACTAGAGTACACAGAAGATGACTATCAGACAGAACTTGAGCATATTGAGAAGGTCAGACCACTCCTTTATCCAAATGGTCACGAAAAGTTTTGAATACATGAATATTTAAACGTTCCTTGCCAAATTAACCTATTCTACCTGCTGAGTTTGTATATCCTGGCAAAATGGCCAATATGGGTCCAAGTCTGGCCTTGACGAGTGATAAACTAGTGAAGTATTGTGTAACAAGTATGTCAAAGCAAAGTGGTTAACAAATTGGAACTGGAAAAAATTTTGTTATCTGTATCTATCTCTGCAGAAAGTTCTACTTTAGCTGATCATAAACTTTAAGGTGGAAAGATGGGATTGTCAGTTTTAAGTATTTGAATATAAAAATGGATAAAATTACCTTTTTAATACATACACTGACCTTAGGTTTTGTGCTCTATTTTTTACTATGTCAGGTTTTTACTCCATTGGTTGAGAAATGTAAGAAGTATGGAAGGGCAATGCGTATTGGGACAAACCATGGCAGTCTTTCAGATCGTATAATGAGCTACTATGGAGATTCTCCTAGGGGAATGGTGAAAATTTATTTTCTCCCAATAACGTGTAGTATTTTTCTTGTTTGTTGTAGTTCTAGACACAGTAGCATCATACTGAATGGCTTGTATCAAACAGGTTGAATCTGCATTTGAGTTTGCTAGGATATGTCGGAAGTTGGACTTCCATAATTTTGTCTTTTCAATGAAAGCAAGCAACCCAGTTGTCATGGTCCAGGCATACCGTCTACTTGTAGCAGAAATGTATGTTCAAGGCTGGGATTATCCATTACACTTGGGCGTCACTGAAGCTGGAGAAGGTGAAGATGGGCGAATGAAATCTGCAATTGGCATTGGGACTCTTCTCCAGGTACCCTTACGATACAAACTGCTATTTCCACAAAAATGGAGGATCCTTTAGAATCTCAATGATGTGTTTTCTGATAAATCTCGCAGCTTTTAAACTCTCATTTGCATTTTACTCAAAATGCATCAGTTTGTAGCTTAATTTAAGATGGACATTTATGTGGTGAATGTGCATTCCATTTGTGTGATCTTGCTCTTCCATCAAAATTGATTTCTTCGTAGCTAATATCATATCACCGGGAAGATATTATGTTTGGTGTGATTGGATATGCAGGATGGTCTGGGCGATACAATCAGGGTTTCACTTACAGAACCACCAGAAGAGGAGATAGATCCTTGCAGAAGGTTGGCCAATCTTGGTATGAGAGCAGCTAAACTTCAGCAAGGAGTGGTAGGTTCTACGTTGCACTGTACCAAATTAACACAATTCTGCGCTGTAAATTCTGCCATTTATGAAATCTTATCAGTTGACTTTGGCGGAATTTTTTCAACCAGGCACCATTTGAGGAAAAGCACAGGCATTACTTCGATTTCCAGCGCCGATCTGGTCAATTACCAGTGCAAAAGGAGGTTATCCTTCAACTTCTATATTTTAACATTTGTTAGCTTATTTCTTTGATCATGAGTTTGCAAAAGGAGAATTGATTGTTCACGTAAAACAGGGCGAGGAGGTGGATTATAGAGGCGTCCTGCACCGTGATGGCTCTGTGCTCATGTCAGTTTCTTTAGATCAGTTGAAGGTACTCATACCTCATCTCTCTTTTCACTATTATCCCTCAATTTATACTTTTCGAACTTGGAGGGCAGCATTTGAAGGAGTGTTTTCTTTAATTTTTTTCTCCTTTCAGGCACCTGAACTTCTCTACAAGGCACTTGCAGCAAAGCTTGTCGTTGGGATGCCTTTCAAGGTCTGTTTTGACCTAATTCTGTTGCTTTGAAAGAGTAATGGCTTGAAGATGATTTCTGAATCCATCATTGTTTTTATTGACACAAATATTTCTGTTTAGGATCTGGCAACAGTGGATTCGATTTTATTGAGAGAGCTCCCAGCAGTGGATGATAATGATGCTGTAAGAACCTTAACTTTCTCTTGCTTCATTTGATTGGGAATAGAACTCTCTCTCTCTCTCTCTCTCTCATCATTGATTTGTTATGCCTCATTTTAGAATTACTCTAATTTACTAAAGAATCAGAACAGTTGATATTATATTCTGTATTGTGACTAGCGGCTAGCTCTCAAAAGGTTGATAGATATTAGTATGGGGGTAATAGCTCCTTTATCAGAGCAGCTAACGAAACCATTGCCCAATGCCATGGTTCTTGTCAACCTTAAGGAGTTGTCAACTGGTGCACACAAGCTTTTGCCAGAAGGTACCACTTTTCTACAATTGTCACATTGTTGGGTTCTTATGCTCCACATTTTCATTTCTACTTCCTGTGCTGAAATTTATTGAGAACTTTGAGTCATCCAATTTCACCTCTCAGGTACACGCTTGGTTGTGTCTGTACGTGGTGATGAGCCCTATGAAGAACTTGAAATTCTCAAACACATTGATGCCACAATGCTTCTTCATGGTCTACCCTTTTCAGAAGATAAGATTGGTAGAGTGCATGCAGCAAGGAGGTAATACTGCTCCTCCCTTGAATTTTTATAATATGGTCATTAATTGAAGCAAAAAGATTAAACCAAGCCATCAGTACATCCACATGCAGATAATCTATGCCTGAGAGAAGCCGTTCTTTTTCAAACCATTGTGTTATTAAATTTTGGTTGCTTCAAGCTCCAACTAATGGCCTGTTAGGCATTTTTGTCTGGAGTGTTAATTATATTGCTGAGTAGGCCCATATCAATGCCTAGGGCGTACCTAGTGACTCAACAGAATAAACATGAGTCATCTCTATTTCCTGTTCTCTCAATTGTTCATTTGTTTTGTATGTTATTTTCTATTTGCAACAAGATTTTTCACTGTCTTATAAAACACTCCCTAGTCCTGACAGCTCAAACTCTTATCTTTGCTGCAGGTTATTTGAGTATCTTGCAGACAATGCTTTGAATGTCCCCGTGATTCACCACATTCAGTTTTCAAAAGGGGTTCACAGGTAATCATGAAACTTACAATATACATTGAATGTGATGCATGTATGAGTTGTTTTAGCTTGTACTATTTTCTTCTCTTTGCAGGGATGACTTGGTCATTGGTTCTGGCACAAATGCTGGAGCTCTTTTAGTAGATGGTCTAGGAGATGGTGTCCTAATAGAAGCCCCGGATCAGGATTTTGATTTTCTCAGGAATACATCTTTCAACTTGTTACAAGGTTGCAGAATGAGAAATACAAAGACGGTATGAAGTTTGTTTTCAAAACCAAAAAAAACATAAGAACCCTTTTTTTTTTACTCGCTTAGTGATTAAGGTCTTATTCATTACTTGAATCGCTTAAATCTCATCAGGAATATGTCTCATGCCCATCATGCGGAAGAACTTTGTTTGATCTTCAAGAGATAAGTGCACAAATACGAGAAAAGACATCACACTTGCCTGGTGTTTCGGTGATCATCCAATACTTTTGCATTATCGTTTGATTATGTTGATTAACCTTATCTTTTTCCAATAAAAAATCTGTTGTCTTCTTTCATTTCCTTTCTTAGATTGCAATCATGGGTTGCATTGTGAATGGCCCTGGGGAGATGGCTGATGCAGATTTTGGGTATGTCGGTGGTGCTCCGGGAAAGATTGACCTTTATGTTGGCAAGGTAATGACAATTTCATGCTTCAAAATTCATATGGTCTTTATCAATCTATGTTGTTAACTCGGATCATTAACATTTGAAGGTCAGTATGATACGATATGGTTTATGGATCTTTGCACCTACTAGCCCAAACTTACGTTAGATGCTCTTAAGTTTGCCATTACTGTGCTGTGTGTCATACCAGAAAGAGTGTTGGCTTGTCCATTGACTAGCTTAACCTTTTAGGTAGGATGTCCAAACAATTTTTTGAAAAATATGAATTCAACAAACAATTAGGATGTGATAGACCTTGTTACCAGATAGACCTTGGCGTGTAACATCCATTTCCTTAATGTGTCTCGGCAGGCCTTAATTACTTGAAAGTTTTAGTATTTTGGCCAACATATTGCCCAGAATATCTTGTTCACAAGTAGGAATGTTGCTGTGGCATGGTACTAATGCTCTTTTGGTACATGTCTCTGTTACGCTTAAAAGCATAACTATTCGGTTGCCGTTTTATAGTTTAACCGTGATGAATTGTTAATAGCATGCTCTCAGAGAGATGCAGGAATGATGCCTAATTCGCGAATGCATGCTAGTTAATCAGGGTTAAAAATGTAGTTGAAGTTTGCTGTTGATCTTGAATGACGGATGAAATTGTTGATGGTAAGTTTGGACTGCATGGCAGACGGTGGTAAAGCGTGGAATCGAAATGGAGCATGCGACGGATGCGTTGATCCAGCTAATTAAAGATAATGGCCGCTGGGTAGACCCTCCTGCAGAAGAGTAAACTGATAGTCCCAGATGACTGATAGGAATAAAGAAGGGAGGGAGCAGCAATGTTATAATTGTTATCATGTTGTACACCTATGTCCCGAAAATAGAAATCCATCCTGATGCACAGGAAAGGAAAAGAAATTTCCGTGTAACACATGATGTATGTACCTCGTACACCGTATTCTCTCGACAAGTTCATTTTCATGATTCGTGAGCCTAGCAACCGGGCTACATGATGTAGTTTCTATCTCTAGCATTATCCTACTATTCATGATCTTCAATGAGATCCACATGGCAAATTGCATTTCTCACCATGTATGGTCTAGTGTCCGCTTTGGCCTTTTTTTTTTTTTTTTTTTGTTTAAACCCCTTGGCTTAGAGTAAATTATAAATTGGTCTGTCTTGTTTAAAGAAATGAATTAATTAGTCTTCTTTATTTTATAAACTTATTATTTAGTTTTTAATGTTTTAATTTTGTTAATAATTTAATTCTTTTATCAGTTTTTTTTTTGTTTTATTTGTGATTTTATCTTTCAAATTGTTGTTCTTTGATGCTTTATTTATTATCTTCATTTGTTTTTTTTATCCCCCTCTACCAAAAACCAAAGGAGTACTGATAATCTGGAAACAAAAAATCACTAATATAATAAAAAAAAACTAATCAAATGACTAAATTTTTCATGGAATTAAAATGTGAAAACTAAATGATTATTTTTTTAAGAGGAATTAATTAGTTTGTTTCTTTAAATAAAATGGATTTATATTCATTCTACAAAACACCCCACCACCACAAACCCGCCCAACAACCCAACCAACCCATTAAATAAGATAATTTGAGCCAGAAAAAAATAAGATAATTTGCCACACCTAATTCTGAATTCTGAATGATGTGGAGTTGACTCACTCTCGTTATGTTATTCAACATTTTAGGGTTCCTAATTCTGAATGATAAGGAGTTGATTCACTCTTGTTGTTATGTTATTCTACCTCCTCCTACGTCTTCCGAGCGGTTACGTCCAGATTTCAATAGGAGACGATTTACTTCTACTTTGACTTATAATTTTTAAAATTACCATTTTTTCAATTCGCCCCTAACCCATTAAATAAAATGTTGAAAAGAGAAGAAAGAAATTTCTAGTTTTGTCAGCGCTTAAACAATTTGATCTTCGTTATATTACTCTATTTCTATAATCAATTATGAGAAACACCTATCGGTACCAATCCATACAATTGATACAGCTTTGGTTGCTGCTGTTTATCTCTACTAAAAATCAAACAAAAACATTATTCACTGCTAATTCATTACTTTTTGAAATATTAATAATCAGATTTAACATAAGCGTACAATCCTCATCTAAATAATGAAAAAATTGAATCGTCTCGTAAGAATTCTGTAATCCTTGAGCTTACCCTTTTCGTTCTACAAGACCCCCCTTTTTTTCCCCATCAAATCGAAAATCTGATCGTTGGCTTGGTATGCCAATGGCAGGAACTTTCTCATAAAATACACTGCAATCTTAGATATACTCATTTTGTTTAAAGAGATATTACCTTTTAATTTTTCAAACAGTTTAGATAAATTATTAATTATTATATCATATTACTATTTTTTATTCATATTTTTTTAAAAAAATTATTAGTTATCAAATTTTAATCTTGTATTATATAAAAATCAATATAAATTTAAGAAAAAAATATAATCAAAATTAAGATGATAAATAAAAAAAAACTTTGATCTAATTAACAATCAAGTTTAAAACAATTATAGAAAGATAACATACTCATAAAAATATTTTTCTTATAAAGTTTCTATAAAATATAATATTTTTCTCATAACAAAAAATTGAAATTTTCTTTGTCAAAGGTGTTTTCTTTTTTTAAAAAAACATTATGTTAAAAATATTTATAAGTATAAAAACATGAAATAGAAAAAAGAATTGATTTTTTTATCGATTAGAAATATTTTAAGAAAGTATATTATCTAAATTTTAACTATTTTGAGACTGATATAAATAAACAAGTATTTTGAAATATTTATAAATAAATAAAAAAGAAAGAACAAATTTTTTGAGCTAGAAAAAATACATCCTAATCATGAATCTATACATTCTAATTCTGAATGACAAGTGGTTGACTCTTGTTTTGTTATTCTACCTCTTAGGTCTTCCGTGCGGTTACGTCCACATTTCAACTTGGCTTCTAATTTTAAAAATTACCATTTTTTCAATTCGCCTCTAACAATTAAATAAAATGTTGAAAAGAGAAGAGAAAGAAATTTCTAGTTTTGTCAGCGCTCTATTTCTATAATTATGAGAAACACCGACAAATTTTATAATTCTTAAATAGTTAAATATATTTATAATAATTATTCTATAAGTTATTTTTTTAAAAAAAATAAATATAAAAAAAATAACATCCAAATTTATTAAAATAATAATAAAATTTTCACATTAATTAATTTTTTTTAAATTTTTTTAATCCATTTCTCAATATAAAGTATTAATTACTTTTTGAATATTATAAAATTATAAAATTTCTCATAGCTGCCTATGAATGCGATTGATACAGCTTTGGTTGCTGTTTAGACTAATAATAAACCAGAGAAATAAAACTATTAAAAATCAAACAAAAACATTATTCACTGCTAATTCATTACTTTTTGATGATAATGATAATAATAATAATAATCAGATTTAACATAAACGTACAATCCTCACCTAAATAATGAAAAAATTGAATCGTCTGGTATACAGAAATAAAATTATAACGAGCAGAATGAATAAATTTAAGAATATAAAATATTCTATGCAGCAGATTCAGATTCAGTTTCAAAGAAGCTCTCTTCTAGCAGCATAACTATAATCAGACCTTCGAATATTATTCTGTCTCTTCTTGTAAACCAATCCTCCTAATCCAACCAAACACGCCGCCACTATCACTCCTACTACTATCCCCGCCTTCTTCCCTCCACTCATTCCCTTCGATTCGTCTCCACCGCCACTTCCTGCTTCCACATTGTTGCTGTGATTGATGTCGCTCGCTTCCGTCGGTGATGGTGACGGTACTGGAACATTTGTAACCGGTACGGGCCCAGGAACCGTCAGATCTGAAGGCGGTGGTGCTGGTGGAGATGCCAATGGTGAATCTGACGGAGATCCGGTTTCCGATGAGAGAGAAGGAGATGGAGATGGAAGAGGAGGAGATAGTAATGGTGAATAGGCGTCGTCAGATTCTTGAGGAGATGGAGATGGAGATGGTGTATCCAAGGATGAGAAGGAGGAGGAGATTTGCAATAAAAAGAAAGCTAAAACAGCGTAAACAAATACTAATCTAGTGGTGGTAGCCATAATTGAATTTGAATTAGGAAATGGCGAGAGAGAGAGAGAGAGAGAGAGAGAGAGAGACGGCCCTTTTTTTTTTTTTTTTTTAAAGTTTGCTGAGTGTAGTTCAGCAGTAGAGATGTGTAGATCTGGTGGGGAAAGGAAGTTTAAAAAGACGGTTTTTATCAGATGAAAGGTAGCGAGTAGAGACTAGAGATTGCCCTGAGGAAGGAAACTACGAAAGTGTGTAAAGAGAGTGAACATTCCGTACCTCTACTCTTAGGATTGTAATAATTTAGTCCTTGTAATTTTGTTTTGCCTACTTTTATCCTTTAATTATGCAACCCTTGCGTTACGATTGTGGTATTTTTAGTAAGTAGAAGGATGGAAGTAAGAAAATCTCGAGATCTGGATGAAATATAATATACTACTCTACAATTAACCGATTGATGGTAACTAACGGAATCGTGGAAATTATGTCCCGTGAAATCCGGATGGACACGTGTGGATGGTTAAGTGGGAGCTTGGAGTCCGAACTAAGTAAAGTCACTAAATTTCGAATATTTTAATTAATTTAATAAATGGAGTGAGTATGAAATTATTAGTATGAAGGATAATTACTTTACGAAAGGGGATTGCACGGTAAATGCGGGATGCGATTGCCTTTTTTATTTTTCGTTTATAGTTTCCGAAGCCAGCTATTTTGTAGTTGGAACGTATGGCGTGTTTTGTTGATGAAATGTTGGCTTCTCTCTCTCAGATAATTGTAGAGTTTAGCACTTCCTTAATCCCAAATTTACACACAAGAAGATGTTAAAATAACATTTGAAATTGGAGTCTCAGCAACTTAAATAGAATAGATATATTTGAACTTGGAGTCTCAACCACTTGAACAGAATAGATTAACTTGCTATTTGCTTATAGACAAATCTTTCATTTCGGAATAGGTTTAAGTTCATCCCAAGTGCAGTTATTTTTCTATTTCCAAAAAGTAAATGTCACGCTGTCAGATTAGGCGACCCTTGGTGGTAGCGTTGAGAAAACAGTACTTTTCTGACCATGACTAACCGGGATCTCGGCTACGTATAATCTTTGCGTAAGCGTTAAATACAACTTCCACTCGTGTAGTGTTACCGGAAGAGCTACCACCACCAGAACCAATGCCGGAGGAATGACTAGAAGTAGAAAGTGCAGAACCCACCCCCACCCCTCTGCCCCGATCACTTGCCCCAGATCTTACAATAATCAAAACAACGTACGCTGTAATTAATTAATTAATTAACCAGAAACCTAATCGATTTTTCCAACAATATATAATGCATTCTTTCTGGACTTTACAGCGATGACAAACAAAACAAGAACTTAATTTTGCTTGTTCATGAGCCTAATAAATCGGATTGGCATGAAGCACCTTTAGAAATCATCATCAAAAGTAAACTTGGGCTTTTTATAATTGAAGAAAACTTTCATTCCTGGATTCGTCCCATAGATGCACTGTACCGTTGGAAGGTTCAATTAACAAACGAGCACAAAACGGGAACCAGGGAATAGAAGTCCAGATTTATTAAACTCTTTCAACGAACCTTAAAAATGAAGCAAAATTCAGAAAGACAATACATACTTTTTTTCCATTTTCCCAGTCAGTTTCACTGAGGATGGGGTGTGGTAGGTTGGTCATAAAGGATTTTCTATTTTGATGTATTTCTTCCACTACTCAGCTCTATTTTCTTCCCAAACTATTTCTTTTAACCTTACCAAGATACATAAACGAGCAAAGTAACTAAAATCCTCACAATTCATCTTTCACATCCTTAGTGCTGCTCTCATGGCTGTCTTTGGCTTCAGAACTTTCTGTTTTTGATGTTGAAGCTGGTTTTTGGAGCTTGAATGGAACCGATGCGTGCTTCTTCAGGAACTTATAAAATGCAACCACAGTACGATCTGTGTCCACAGTAATCTGCCAAACACCAATTAAGCCAAAACATATCACATAAGTATATTCCAAATTGCAAAGCATGCTACAATGGGCAGAGGTCATAGTGAAAAGACAACAAAATTTTAACAGTCGCTTACTGGATCAAAGCTCTTGTTCCCAGCAGGAAAGAAGAGGATCGTGGGAAACCCATCAGACTGCACAGAGAAAAAAGAAGTGAACAGTTTTTCACTAACAACTTCCTCTTCTTTTTAGCTTTGAGATTTTGCACTCCAACACCAGAAGGGGGAAAAAAAAAAAAGCATTATGCGTTGCATTGAAAAAGAAAAGACTGGTAATGCAAGCCAAATTTCAACACATTAGATTAGTAGCTTATTTGCGATGTACCTAAAACTTGCCACTTTATATAGAAGTCAATGTTTTCCGAATTGCCAAGTCATTGAATTGAAAAATGGAGGAGATCAAAGATTCAGAGGTTATACCAAGATTGAATAAGAAAAAACAAACAAAGATAATTGATTATATGTTCAAAACATATATATATAAAAAAAAATATATGCTCCCATACAAAAAATGACTTTGGAACGGTAATATGTCTTTGTTCAGGCGTCCCTCCTGCAAAAGTTAGTCAATAAAGCAAACCCAACCAGACTGTATTTACTAGTTTCTACTCAAACCACTTCATTCACCAGTCTTCAACTGAGTTTGAGTTCTCCAATTCTTGGAAAAACTAGGTTTGCCATAAGGCACTAAAGGTCAATGCTAGCCATTTTAAGGCTTCACAACTGTAAGCAAAAAACCATGGGGTCTAGTATGAAGTTAATCGTCAATAGAAGTTTCTCCCCAAATTATTATACGCAGAAAGGACATTCATCCATTAGAAATCCAAGTTCTACAAAAAGACAATCTGGAGAAAAAGTAAAATCCCACGCAATAGATCAACTTTGAAATACAAGTACCTTTGCCCTGGGATGCTCATTTGTTGTTCCATCCATCTTGGCTACAACAATAGACTCAATGCCCTTCAAATGTCTGGCAAGTTTGTTGTATGTTGGCTCCAAAGCTTGGCAATGACCACACCATGGTGCATAGATCTAGTAAACCAACCAAACATTTAGAAAGCGCCAAGTAAAAAGAACAAAAAAGACAAAGTGGGTCTATCTATGCATTTATCAGTTACAACAACACCTCAAGAAGAACGTCCTTTGACTCGTCCAAAACAATTTCTTCAAAGTTATTCCCAACCACTATCTTTACGTCCCCATCATTCTATGACAATCAAACATCATAAATGTCAGATAACAAGACGAAATAAATTGAATCAACTAGTTCTCAAATAAAAGAATAATTAAATAAATTAGTCGAGAAAACAAAAACTTAGCAACTCACTGTTTCAGGAACTGGATCCGACTTGAAGAAAGGTTTGAGCTTGTCTTCAAGGAAATCCTCCCCAAAAGCCTGAGAGATAAAAAGATCAGAACATTAAGCTTTTGGCATTGACATTACTGTTCAAAGAGCTCATCAAAATAGCTGGAAAAGCAACCTATGTAAGAACAAATGGATACATGAAGAAGAAAAACCTTTACCCAACCACAGTTAACGCCGAATATAAATTGCAGACCAATAAAGAGAAAGTTCCAACCTTAAGTTTGTCCAAGGTAACTTCCCCATCAAGTACAAATTTTTTAGCATCATCGTTTCCTGTGTATCCAAGAACCTATGTAGAAATTGATACCAACAAAAGCTTCAATTGCACCAAACATACGAAATCACCAACAATCAGTATCATAAATTTGTGCTGAGAAGAAAAATTACCTTGGGAGCAGTTCCAGTGATACCAAAATAGTCTGAAACAGGCTTCCCAACATCTTCATTGTCCATTTCCACGTATACGAAGATAAGCTGCAATCCATAAAAAATACTAAACTTATATATAGCCCACAAAGTTATCTCAAAGAACATTGCATGTCTACCATTATCAGCAGCACAAAGTATTAACATGAAGGTTACTAATGAATGAACTTAAGTTACCTTTCCCTTGAATAATTTAGCTGCATCTTGAAAAATTGGGATAACTTTCTCTGAATCATTTGAAATTGCAAACAGCAACAGCTGAGAATAAGAAAATATGGGACCATTGTTCAGATCAGTACACTTTTAGAAACATAATACTTCATTCAGAAGTCCAAAACAAAGTCATGTGCATCCAAACCTGCTTCTTAATTGAACTCTCAAAAATCATAGGGGCATTTTCCCTAGTAAAAAAGGTCACCAAAGGCAGTTTGTTGGCAAATACGAAGTCAGCTATCTCTGCCTTAGAAAATTTACCATCTGCAGAATGAGAAACTAGATATAAGAGCAATTCCCCCTAAAAGATTAATTTTAAGAGTTCCAACAAAAATGGAATTGGGGAAGAACCAACCAAAAACACTCAGTTTCTCAGCCTCTTTCTTAAGCATGACTAAAGCTGGGCGTTTAACTTCTGGGTCAAGGTGGAAAAGCTTTGCCACATCAGGATTTACAGTTTGATAGAAGTTGACATCGTCTTCGAGTCTTGAAGCAGCAGCAAGTTCCTCACTTTCAGGACCCTGTTTTTTATGAAGTAAACGAGCATAGAATCAATTGTAGAACAAATGCACATAATGTTCTAACAACTACCGTCATCTCAAGATGTAATAACCATTCAAGAATCGGCTCAAGGTTTGGGCCGTTTCCATTTCTAAATTTGATATTCACGGGCTCTTTACCTTTTTTTTTTTTTTTTTTCTTTTAAGCTAACACTTGTTCTACACGACAGATCTGTGCCTCTGAATATCATGCACAATCCAATTAATAAATTGCTGAGACGATCACCCGGTAGAAAGAAAAGGAAATTGCTACTTCACAGAAGTTAATAATTTCACAAAACTCCAACTCACAATGTCACACAGAGGAAGGAAGCCAATTCTCTTTCTTTCATAAGATTGAAGACATAAACCAGGTTGCAACAAGGAAACAGACATAACACAAAATAGTGAAAGCAAAGCATACCACCAAAGAGTTGAGGAAGCCCAAAACAAGTTTAGTTTCAGAAGTCAACAGACGTTCAGCATCATCCACTGTTGTTATATTGTAAATACCAGGTCCTATTTTCTTCCTGATCCATGTCAAGATACCATCTCTGCATCCCATTGTATTGCATTACAAGACATAGCATACATGAATCGTCGTAAATCAATCGATCGTAAAAAGAAACACGCTTACTTGGTCCTTGGGCCAGGATAAGGCTTGTGTACCCCATCAACAAAGAAATAAATAGTAGGGAAGCCTTGAATCTCATACTCCTGAGCCAACTCATTCTCTTCAGTTGCATCCACTTTAGCCAACACCACTCCCTCCCCTTTCAACTCCGTAGCAGCGGCTGCATACTCAGGAGCCAACGATTGGCAGTGACCGCACCACGGCGCGTAGAATTCCACCATCACAAACTTATTCTTACTCACAAAATCACTGAAATTCCCATCCTTCAAAACGACGACGTCCTTGTCGTCAATCTCGGGGTCCTTGTAGGAATCCAATTCGGAATCGTCGAGATCAGGGTAATTTTCGAGATCATCGTCGTTGTCGTATTCTTCGTCGAATTGGTCCGGATCGGGGTAGTGATCGTGGTGCTGAGGAACGGCGTCGGTTTCTTCTTCGAGGAAACTGAGATCCTCATCGTCGTCGTCGTTTTGGGGTTTGGAGAGAGAGGGAGAGAGTTGAGAGAAGAGAAGGAGGGCAGTGAGAGAGAGGAGGAGGATGAAGCGAGCCGACATTGTGTTGGTGTGACTGAGATCCAGTACAAACCCGGACCAGTGGGGGTTTATAGGAGAGAAAAATCGTGGACTTTCAAGTCAGCAGCAGGCCTTGTACGACGTCGTCTCAATGCTTTGGGAGATCCTGCTTTACTGTGCATGCCATTCCATATGGAGCCCTTACTTATTACCGTTACACCTAAATTTGAGCTGTGCCCTGTTTCTGTTTGGCATTCATAAAGTCATTTTTAACGAATTTCGCTGCCACTTTCACAAACCAAAAAGCCAGGTCTTTTTCTTTCTTTCTTTCTTTCTTTTTTTTTTTTCTATCTAGAGACTCATTTGCCCTCGTTAGGGGAGCATAATTCGATTTTAATCAAAAAACCGAACCGATATATTTATTTTGGTTCAATTTTAAATTTAAAATCGAAAGGAAAAACCAAACTCGAAAAATCAAAGTTATTTTAGTTCGATTCAATTTATAAAATTTATATTTCGGTTTAAACCAAAAATCGAAATTTTAGAAATTAAGAAAAAAAAAACCAAACAAACCCTAAGTCACTACCTCAACTCATAGGCATCCCACTTGTTTTTCATCTAATTTTCAGCCACCGCACGACGATAGAGTTGCAAACCCACACGAGTTTCACTCGTTTGGAATCCTCTTATTTTGATGGAATTGAATTCAATTGGATAGAATTGAATCCAAATATGTCATTTGGATATTTGTAAGCAATAGAATTGAGAAGAATAAAATTCATTTGGGAGCAAAAAATGAAGATTTCCGTACGGAAAGAATTCAACAAAAAAATGGTGTGATTTGTGTAGAATTCTATTGGCTTTCATGACTAAAAATGGGTCCCATTCCCTCTAAAATAAGAAACCCATATTTACCCTTACTTTATCACCCGGGAAACCCTAAAATCCGGTTCTTCTTCCCGCCAAAGACCACAACTTTTCCTCTTCAGCGAGTCATTTCATTCCCATTGGTATCTCATCTTCGAGTGATAGATCAACAACCCACAAAATCAAAGGTTTTTTTACTCAAATCTCATCCTTTTTTCTTCCGTCTTGTCTTTAATGCAATTCTCGCTTCACCAAACGCAAACCCTCTCGCAGTAATTTTTTTACTTCATCGACACTTATGATTTTTTTTTATGGCATATTTTTAATTTTGATGATGCTTTAAGCATTGAGGTTTTTACAATCATGTAGAAATCTTTACTTGATATTGGTCTTGACATTGGTTCTACTTAGGCATGTTTCGGCATTATAGCAATAACCCATATTATAATGACCTTGACACCTTGTTATGGACTTATAAAAATAAAATAAAGAATTAACTAAGTTCGTAACTTAGTTTTAGATTTTTCTCAATTAGAAAACACGGACAAGAAAAAAAATTAAAGCCAAGTTAAGTCGTAACTTTAAGAACCTAAAAATAATGTAAACAATGACGGATAGTCCAAGGAATTGAATAAATGCCGAAGCCGGTTCAAACCGATAAATTATTGATGCAAGCCTATGAAAGCCAAGAAGAAAAAAAACGGTAAAGGTAGAAGCTTTATTACTTATTTGATGAAACCGAGAAAGACCACGAGTAAAGGAAACAACAAAGTTTATGTCATTTTTGGTTCATTGTTCAATTTTGGCTTCTCCTTGTTTTGAGTTATGAATTCTCCGGAGGGTGGTTTCTACCTACCATGCTTGGAATAAACAAAAACATAATTTCAGTTTATTGCTACGGAGATTCAATTATTTTTGTGCAAACAACCTATTTTTCATTCGTTGCTATCTGTTGTTTTATTTTGTTATGTTTCTTCGTCGTTTTTCTCCACTTGGAGTTTGATTTACTCGTTTTTAATTATCTTTCACTTGATTAAAAAATTCATGAATGTAGGTGACATTATGACGATTTTGAGAGGAATGCTCTGCTTTCTTTGATTGCTTATGTGGGTTATGTAGTATTTTTAGTTAAACTCTATCAATATGCATCTCATTTAGATAGACCGGTTTCGAATTAAATAGGGATAGAGAAGAAGTTAGACAAGAATTGCTTAGGACTTTAAAGACAAGTGAAGATTCACGTGATATAATACGTATGAGACCCAATGCTTTTCGACGATTAGTTTCAATTTTAAGAGGAAGAGGTCTTTTGAGAGATAGCCAATATAGTACAATTGAGGAACAATTAGTTAAATTTCTCCATATTATAGGATGTAATGTTCGTAATCGTACTCGTGAAATTTTTCTTTTGTCGGTCGAGTGAGACTCGTTAGCCGTCATTTTCATCAAGTCCTTAGGGCAATTATATCCTTTGAAGTTTAATTTTTAGTCCAACCAAATGGTTCCATAATTCCATCGAAATACACGAGAGAAAAGGAGATATTATCCATATTGTAAGGTATGTTTTATAAATTACGGAAATCATTGACTTCATGTTTATGTTTGAAAGTGCTAACTTTAATGTGAAATTTGAAGAATTGCATTGGTGCTATTGGTGGAACACACATTCGTGTTAAAGTTCCTAGAGATCAAGTGGCAAATATAGAGGAAGAAAAGGGATTCCTACAATGAGCATTTTGGTCGCATGCACATTTGACTTAAAATTTACATATGTGTTACCTAGGTGGGAAAGTTTTGCATTAGATTCAAGAGTGTTAGAAAATGCTTTAAGTAGGGAGGATAAGTTACAAGTCCCTCAAGATAGTACAAAAACTAGTTCATATAAACTTTTTTCATTATGCCATTGCATGCAATTTGTAAAATTTTTACACGAGTTTATGGTTTTTTTAGGTAAGTTCTATTTAGCGGATGCGGGATATATGTTGCGATCGGGATTTATTACTCCATATAGAAGCACACGTTATCACTTGAAAGAATATTCCCAACATGGTCTTGAAAATGCAAAAGAATTGTTTAACTTGCGACATGTTTGTTTGAGAAATGCAATTGAAAGAAGTTTTGGTGTATTAAAGAAGCGTTTTCCAATAATTACAAGTGGTACCGAGGCAAAATATGATGTGAACACTCTTTCGAAATTGTAATAACATGCTGTATTTTACATAATTATCTTATGGGTGTGGATCCGGATGAACAATTAATTTCGAAGTTGATAGGGAACTTATGACGAACCAACTTGACCATGAAATTGGTTCAACATATATTGCAAGAAGCGAGGATGGTCGAAGAGGGGAAATGATAAGGGAAGCTATTGTTGCGAGAGATGTGGCATGATTACACTTCTCGAAGGACTATTTAAATATCTTATACTACTTAGTCTTGAAATATATTATTGAGATGCTTTTTGTTCCTTTTTTGGTATAACCTATGTATGATTTGTTTTTGTAATTTAATGGATCTTATTTTTTTTTCTAGTTGTTTGTTTTTTCCATTCAGTAATGTAAATGTTAACATTTAGTTCTACTTGGAACCCTTTTTTTCCTTTCAATATTTGACATAGAAGAACTTGTATTTTGTTCGTGATTTGCATTTATAGGACAAGTCATGGATGAAGTATGAGAGGTTACTAATGTTAATGGCCAAAAAGGTAAGAACAACAATGATGGTTATTTTAGATGGAGTGTAGAGATGGACGGATTGATGCTTGGAGGTGCTTAAAGAACAAAAACTCAAAGGAAAAAAAGATGATAAAGCTTTTCTGCTGAAGCTTATCGAGTTGTGGTTGCAGAAATGAATGAAAAGTTTGGAATCAAAATTACAAGGCGAGAAAATTGTTAATCGCTTGAAGACTTTGAAAGATCAAATGGGTTTAGCATTGATAGTCTTTGATTCAAAAGAGTGGTTTCTCGCGGAATGATGTTACCAAAAAGATAGATGCTTGAACCAACTGTTTGGGATGACTTAATCAATGTAAGATATATATTATCATTGTAACTTTTACACCATTATTGTAGATTTAATGTTAAATGAAGAATCGATACATTACTTAGTTGGATCTTCAACTGACATGCACTATTGTAGTTATATAAAACCATATTTAAGTTCCTTTTAGCATCCCTTACAAATTCTTGTATATTTTATTTAAGTTCTTTTTTTTTTAATGTTTTTAATAGAAACGACTTAGTCAATTTGCATTACTTGTTAATTTTAGTTCGATGGTTCTAGAAATCGCCAAACATGTGGATTAGATACTATTCCGATTATTTATTTTATGAATAGGCTAATGACAAGATGAGGTTGATTCGAGATAAACAACTTTTCAATTTAGAATTGTTACGCGAGATCTATGAAAAAGATCGAGCAACCGGTGATGGTGTCGAGAGTGCTAAAGAGAAAGTTCAAAGATGGGAAAGGGAGCAAAGAGAGATACGGATTGAGGATATTGATGAGATACAAATAAACAATGAAATACATTTGGAGAACTTTTCCTCTTTCAATAATCACAATTCTCCATCAACACCAAACAATCAAGCACAAACCACATCCATGCTTGATGTAGCAGACTTCGTCATCGAAAGAAGTCTCTTTCAAAGGAACTAAATGAAAGGCACAAATAATGGAGGAGATCCAAGAAGTAACCGGTGTTATGAAAGGCATAGCACAAGCAATTCCGAAAACTAATCGTCGTATTTGGACGGAAGAAGAAATCTTTGCTGCGATGGAAAAGCTCGATTTGAAAAGTACATCGCTCTTAGATTCGGTTGATTGGCTTGTAGCTCATCCGAGCCTCATTGGGACATTTTTTACATGTCCGAAAGATCTTCACATGGAATGACTTATTACAAAAATGAACAATTGAAAGGTTACAAGTTCTTTTTTGGAATGGGTAACTACATCACCAACTTTACTAACTTTTTGTTAATATTGAAAGCCAACTATAGGTGCATTGGGTTTAACTTGAATATGAAAATAGAGTTGGATATGCATTATTGTAAAGATATAGTTGTGAAGTTTATTATAATTAATATTACAGACCTTTACATGCTTAATTCAAGTATGAAAATTATTTTGTTAATTAAGAGAAACCAATGTACCGATATTTGTTTTCTAGTAGACTAAAATTCAGTTTCAAGGAAGAGGAGGATTGTAAAGGAGTAGGAATATAAAAAAGATATTATGGTAAAGTTATAAAAGTTCAATTCTTTCTCAAATTCTTCCAAACAAGAGAAATCAATTCGATTCTATTAATTGTATATTCATTTCAAACACATGAATTCTATCAATAAATGAACTTAATTGAATTCTAATTACTAAATTGAACTCGAATTCCATCCTAGATTTGGTTCCAAACGAGGTGTTTGTCTTACGCCCTCATCATTTGCTCACCCATGACTCACCATACTAGTCACCACCTACGGCCACCTCTCCGACCTCCTCCTCTTACTCGCATATCCGCCTCCTCGCTTTTCTCCTCACACTCACAAGTCACCACCCACCGTCCTTCTCCCTATCGAGTTGCCGATTATTCTCTTGCCGAGCCTTTCACTAGCTCGTTGCTCTCCCTAAGACAAGGTTAGTTTCTTTTTGGGTTTTAAATTAGATTCCCGATTATCATGTCAATATAATTGAGTTTATGTATTCATCGGATGAATGATTGCTCATGCAATTACAAAGCATATATATAAATTTTACAATAATTGAAACGTTTTATCCATCGCATGTGTTTCGGTTTCGAGCACTCGAATCTATTGATGGATTCCCTGGATTGAAAGGTACAAGTGTTGATATTGTACATTCAAAGATTCAAAGAATATTCCCGGAAGTATCAAGCTTTTCTCCTTTTGAAATATCTTTGGAGGAAAAGTTCTTACCCATTAGTTCCCCCGACAACAGGACAACGGGACATGGAAATCTTAGCCTCATTAAAGAGGTCACGAACCGTATCTTGGTAGGTTATTTGAGAAGCCTACCGCACATGAATTCTACTCGTCCTAACCGTAATTCATGCTTGCGGATCAAGTTTCTCCACTCGATTCATCAACATAGAAATCTCCATCCGGTGGAACACTGCCACTTGATCAAAATAAAAGTCCTTTTAGTGAAATAGTACATGATGAAGATACTAATGCTTCGAGTGATAAAACAATTTCTATCACATGTTGATGGACGGATAGGATGTGAAATTTATAGAACTTCTCATCCCAGGAAGTCGACGGGAAGAATATTGCCTCCTTAAAGCAAGAATCTAAACTACCCGAAGTTATAATTGTTGGAGGAAGAGGTATGAATTGTGGTAAGAATAAAGAAGTTAGGCGACGATATACGTACTTGCGACTTATAAAGACTTGTAAAAGAAGCTTTTGGCATTCATGGGCTCCGACTCGTTAAATTGAATGGCATGGACGAGCCTAAAGCCCATTTTGAAATTCAAAAAAAAAAAAAATTCAGTTTGAAACCGAAGCAACCGAAACCGAAAATTTTGATTTTTCAACCGAATTTTGGTTTCGGTTTTTGTTTCTCTTAATTTGAAGTCGAACCGAACAACCATTTGCTCACCACCAACCCTTATCCTTTTAACATAATTAATCTTCAATATATAATTAATATAACCTACAATATATTATCTAGACTTTAATGTTTATATAATATAAATATAATATTTAATTTATTTATCAGTTAGGATATTTTTATGGTTCAGTTTTTCTCCTTTTTGTTCCCAATTTACTATCATTTTCTTTTTGTTTTAAGAGTAAACGTTAAACTCGTCTGATATCTTCCATTGCCAAATAATAATAATAATAATAATAATAAAGAGGGAAGGTTAATAATAATAATAATAATTTTGAACAACTTTCTCTATAATTTAAATTTTTTTGAATAAAATTTGAATAATTAGCATATGTCATCTTTGTGAAATTTAGGAATTATGCTAATTGTATGTTTAAACCAATCTATTTTTTAGAGAAAAAAAAAGCTATTCTACAAATAAATAGCATGAAATAGTAAAATTTTACAGTCTTGTATGGTATGATGTTTGTGACTGAACAACGTTCATGTAAATCGTCTTTTATTTTTCTTTTTAAATTATGTTATTTTGTGGGAAAAAAATCATGTAAGGTCTCATCTCTTTTTTTCAGTTTAATTTGGTAGTGTAAAATTCATATCATGTATAATTTTTTTTTTGTTGTCATTTATGATGAAAATATTTCAATATTTTTAGAGTACTTGCCGCCCCATATTTCATCCACTCAAATTAAATTACATGTAAAAAAAATAACTATGAATATATAGGTAAAAAAAACGTACTCAGTAAAGAAACCACATTTTAAATGTATGACTAAAAAATATTCGAACACATTCAACTGCATAAAAGCTCATGCAGTCTAATGTGAATCCGATGAATGTTTTTAATTATGTCGACCAAAACAAAAATTTCCCCCTTCGAGAATGTTTTTACCTCTCTCCAACCTCTTTAAAATTTTCCTCACCTTTCAAGATTATGAAAGAAGTGAAAACCACCTAAGATCGGGAGTACAGTGAGAGGATGTCTCACGTTCACCATGTCATAATTCAATTCTCACACATTAAAACTTTTTTTTTTTCAAAATTAAATAAGAATTATTAGTGAACTTGAAGAATTTAGCTCTTAAAATAAATCTAATACTATGTGTGATTTGATATTGGCATAATTCAATAAATATTAGATTTAATATTGATTGATGCTAAACTGATCTGAAGATATTTGACAATTATAATATATAAAAAAATAAATATATTAATAAAAAAATTATTTAGTCGATAAAGAACAAAATGTATCAATTGATGAGAAAAAATAATTCAAAAAAATTCTAATACATGTAGAAAAAATCTTTTAATTCATAAGCGACAAGATGTGTGGATGTCTAAATAATTTTTTATTTTATTTGTATTGGATTTTTATTGAGAGTTATACTACCAAGAAGTTAAAATCAATAAGTTATTTTAACTTTCAATTGGAAAGTGTTTTTTTTTTCAATTAAAAAAAAAAGAAAAAACTTTATTTCTACCGAATAAACTTAATGGAAGGTAGGTGAAAAAGTGAAAGTGAAGAAAGCAAAATGAATCGCTACATCTCAAGTCATAGGATAAAAATCTAGAATAGGGAAGGTAGCTTATCCATGAGAATAAATTATAAATTACTCTTTTATTTTTGAAAAATGAATGAATTAATTTTAAAAGTTAATTATTTAATCTTTTAGCCATTTAGCTAGTATTAACTATGTTTAATTTAAAATTATTTTATTTTAAAAAGTATTATTTTTTCATCAATCCATCTATATTATTTTTTCTATTTTTTAAAATAAAAAATTAAAATAAATTAAAATGAACGGAAAAAATATTAAGTTATAAAAAAAATTAAAAATACAAGGATTAAATAATTATTTCCAAAACAAAATAGACTAATTAATTCGTTTCTTAAACACATAGGGACTAATTTATAATTTACTCACATTATAGACCGCACTCATTCAGTATTTCTGCAAAAACGGCTCTCCTTCCAAATCTACCTATCAAATTACTACCACAACACAGAAGCACCATGATCAGCATCCTTGCTCAAGTAATCATCTTTTGTCTTTGCTCTTTTCTTTATTTTTGATTCGATTGTAAATTTATTATACTCATATTGTTGTTGCTGTTGTTGATGGGAATCTGCAGGAGCGTCTACTGGGTGCCACATTGGGGGCTGCATTTGCGGGTTTCGTTGTTTTTGAGCAACGAAAACGCATCTATCAATCCATTTCACCTAATCATACTCAATTCCAGGTTTAAAATTATTATTATTATTGTTTGCTTGAGAATGAAAACCTAGTAGATTCTTTCTTTATTTATTTTTTCAATGATTTTTTTTATCGATCTTTCTGGAAATCATCTATTGCGTGTGCTTATCTTGTTTATGACAACAATCTGGCGAAAAATGGATAACCTATTTCCTTATTTCCTTACATCGTTCCATGGGACACTCTCATTAATACTGTCTTTAAATTAGTTTAAAAAAAATAAAATAAAATAAAAAAGAGAGAGTTATCTATACTACGCATGCAATTTCTGTTAAATCCTTGATGGGTAGAGATTTGGTGGATTTTGTTGACTCGTTTTGTCTGAAATGCTGCCACACTTTGCCTTCGTCAATGTCTTGAGAAATAGGTTAGTTTACATGATAAGATCGTCCAGAATTCTTTAATGCATTTTGGTAATACTACTGCTAATTACAGAATGTTTCAAATTTCTATGTATTAGATTATAATCTGTTACAACTGCATTTGTATCATAAACGCATTGTGATCTGAATTTGAGTTTCAGTTTTTTATGATGCCCAAGACTTTACATTGCTAGAATTGTAATACAGTCCTTGTTGATAGTTTGGAATTACGCACCAACAAAGACCCCAAGAGTGCACTGGGACAAGGGTTGTTCTTACAAAGGTGCTTCAATGCTTAATTTAGTAACTTGTAGATACAGGATGGATAATATATGACCTAATAAGACAATAAAATCATTAATATAACCTATTAGGTTAGAGTGAGCGCAGCTTGATATGTTGTATTACCAACCTGGTGTATATTTGGGCTTGGGCAATCTTTGATTGATTAATAAAATGGTCATTTATGTATGTATTTTTGAGCACTGGCTGTCTTTGTTTGATTCAGAAAATGAACTTTTTATGTACATGCCTTTTCTTTTGGCATGAGATGAGCCTTTTATATTAGTCTGTAAGTTTTTCTCATCAGTTGTCATTGACGCTGGGACATTAAAAAGTCATGGATAGAACTTATAAACTAATAAATTAATATAAAGAGCTTAGGTGATGTGTCGAGTAGGGACTTCTATAACATTGTACCAGGCATGCTATGGACTAAGACAGGGAAACTGATATGGTATGAATATCCTGAACCAATTACTGGTTGATATAATATTGTGAGGGCCATTTGAAAGAAAATCAACGTAGACAAAAGCCAACTACTTAGTTTTATCATAACTATGGATATATAAACATGCCTAGGGTATACTCTGATTGGAATGTGTCATGTGCCGTACTTTATCCTAATGAAGAGATACGACTCAGCCTGGCATCAGACATTTTTGGTTCTCCAAAGGATGGTTATAGTAGTTGATTTGAATGGGAAATAAGGCATCATCAATGGACACTGAGCGTGGAGTTGATATCTTTACTCCATAAAGCACAACATCCATACCCTGTCTCCTTTTTTGTATTACAGTATTTTGAGGTCTCCACGCTCTTTAAGCTAATAATACCGTACTATATTAATTAGAATCATCCTCTCTATCAAATCTCACTCTCACTCGGCTATTCTTGCACATTAATGATTTATTATTTTACTTGGTCTAGTGTTGTGCATCTTATATTCCAGAAAACTTTATTGTGTGAACTGACTTAACTATTGGAGTGCCTCTGTTGAGGATGACTTTTGGTTCTGTTGTTTGCTTGTTTACATTTTCAGGAGCCACCGTGATAATTTTCAAGGATCAAAAAGGACCATACAGCAATTATTAAGACCAAAAGATCTTGTGTATCATCACACTTTTTAGCTATAACCTGGTCAAAATTTTAGTTTTAGTTCCTTTAGAAGGGAAGATAACTCATCACTAGAGTATTTTCCAGGGTTTTTGAGATGTTCAATCAACTCCTTACAGAACCAATCAAACGTTGCTTGAAAATTCATTGTCCATATTACAAACTCAACGTTTTCATTTATATTGCACAGTTTTTTTTTTACATTAGGCAAACCAGCTCATGGACAAATAAGCTTTTCTCAAGGCCCAAAATATCAATTTTTTTGCTACCTCCTTTTTTGAACTAACAGTGGGATGAACTTTAATTAGATTTTCGAAATCCTGTTCTTTGGAACCTTTATGGCAGTTTCAGGGCTGAGCTGTCTATTTGAACCCGAAGCTCTCTATCTGCAAGCTTGAATCTGTCAAAAGTTGACCACCTATCCTCAAAACGTGTTGATGGAGATAACTACTTATATGTATGTTTGGTGTTCCACTTATGTGATTGAGCTCCTTGTCAAGTGAAATACAAGGATACTGGGGGACTCAAGTTGTTTAGAATCTAGTTTTTCCTAGTTTTTCTGCTACATTTGGTGTTTGAAAGCATTTAGGCAACTCATTCATCATCAATAGACAACAATTGTACTTATAGCCATTGATTGAAGATGTTTTCTTCAACTATCTGTCTTTAGTCAAACAACATGCTTGTCATTTGACAGAGGGTTTTACCAAACTTCTGTTTGGAAATTTCACTAGAGTAGAGGTCTATGCTTTCATATGTTTCAACCTGGCATATATACTTCTGTGCTTTCATTTCTGGTGTGGTCTTCCTTCTCAACAAAGTGCAAAACTATTGACCGTTAATACATTAGCTATCATAAATGCTCAATACAACTAGATTTTCTTTGAGAAGTCAAACCCTCGTGTTCATGAGCTTTTAATAGTCTTAACTTTGAATTTCTGACAGTTCAGAGAGCCCATATTTGGCAAGCAATTTCGATCGGAGTTCAAACTTCTTTGGAACAAAGCTGTGGACCAGTCATTTGGACCTGTGGTTGCTTCTCTTAATTCACGTAGGCAATAGAACTTCAGATTAGTTTCATTGTTATTGGTTGAACACTTCTATCAAGTTTTGAGCCATGTACATGCAAGATTTCTAAATCATTTAATGGGACTTGTACTGAGATGGGTTATGATTGAAAGTCAAATAATATATTACCTGCACTTGGAATAGTTTGGAATTTCAGCCAAGCTGTATGACATAGTTTATTTTATGTTTGTCTCATTTGTCATCTGAGCCAGCTGATTTGCTATAGGATCTTAATCTAAGTCCTTTATTATCCCGTTTGATACTGAGTTCATTCATTGCTTTGTATCAAGTGCCTAACAGATACATAAGGAGTTGTATGATTTTTAGTAGACCTTTTGTTTAGACGTATTCCGACAGAGACAGTTTTGATATCAAAGACCACAATGTTTTCTTTGTAGGCCTTGTCCGAATGGTAAAACCTTTCCCAATTGCACCCCATTCAGCTTCAAAACCTGGATGTCCCTTAACATGAGAGGCTGCTGGAGTGAATCTAGTGCTTTTCCATAAGACCTAGTTTCATAGGAATTACTCTCTCTCCCCTTAGATCTGATTTTATGGTAGATCATTTAAGTGAATCATTCATTGTGATAAATTTTTCAAATTGATGGAACTGCTTTCCTTGTTCTGTTCTTGGCTATGAATCAACAGAACTCTTGTCTATGAATTCATAGATTCTGTTCTCGCAGGCTTTAGGTCCAAGAATTTAAGCTTTACATTGAATTGCCACATGCTTCCCAGGAGTTTCTCTACAAAATAGTGCTAATAAATATTTAGGATTGGGTGTCGTGTTTGAATTTCACTAGCTGGGTTTCCTGCCTAGCCTCTTCTGTGCAGTCCTGTTAACTTGTAATTATACTTAAATGGATCTTCATATTGTGCAAAGAAACGATGAAGTAATAGATAATGATGAACCCAGTCTCTTTGTTCACAAATAAATGAAAGAAAGGGAATGTGTGCAATTATTGATGTCCCCAAAAATGTGGTGTTCATCAGATCACCTGTTACCCGTTATACTTGTATCTCTGGGTAATGTTTATTATGTGGTAATGAAATGTTATGTAATATAATTTTTTTTTCTTTTTATAAACGTATAGGAATTGTCAGCATATGCTGGGTACCTGGTTTGACCATTAGGTGGTGGAGATTTCAAATATTCATTTATTTTACTTGGAATAGGATTAGTTGAGTCTGGTCTTTGAACACAACTAATCGTTCCTGTGGTTTTATACATTTTTTTCCCCTATCCCAATGGTTGTGATGACTATATACTTTTTTAGTGTTGCGAAATTCACCGATCAAATTGTTATTTTCACCCTTTTTTTTCTATTGAATTATTAATACATCATTCATCAATTACCAATAGTTATTATATAACACATATTAGTAGAGGATGTATTAGTAATTTTCTTAAAAAATTGGTGAGAATAACAATTTAATTGATGAATTTAGCAGTAATTTTCATGGTTTCGTTTCTGCTTTGCTTTGTGTGTCTTAATAACTTCTCTCGGATTCAATACTATCAACTTATGGATCCTGTGGGTGGGTCTTTTTACGGCACAGATTGGATGTTTAACTTCCTAACACCACTCACATGCTCCGAAGTCGGAAAAGAAAAACAACTTTTTATATGTATATCTAGAAATGATTAGCAACCAGATTACTAGTCATAATTGTGAAATACCACGCAATAATCACTAATGGCATCATAGATAGAGTCGCCCATCTAGGGGGAGAGAGAGAGAGAGACAGAGAGCAGTAACCGAGGGAGTTGGTAATATTCATCTAGACTCATGGGATGACCACATCAAGCATTAGGTTGAACAGAATTGGCTCGATGTATGTTGGCTTTGCGCGTGACCATTACATAGTAGACACCCATTGTCAAAAGCACTGCAAACGCCACACCAAGTACAATGCCAGCAATGCCACCAGCTCTCAGTCGATTGCCTCCTTTCTGGGATGTTGATATTTTACTTTCTTGTGCTTGATCAGTAGTCTCCAATTGAGCTGCTAGAGGCAACGGTGAGCAACTAGATGATGCAGCACATGGGCTCTTCGTATTCGGTTCTTGTGTTTTGGGATGGAAGAACTCAACTGCCGATGGTGAGAAAGCTACGGGGTTCTCATAAACAAGGCCATGAGGAGCTCTATATTGGGCTCTTGCAATGAATAGAAGGGTTAAAGAGTAGAAGAAGAAGAAGAGAAAGAAAGACTGTACGGGATTGGGAGCCATGCTCTATCTATCACTTTATTTGGTTTTGAGTATGAGAGTATCCGATTCTGAGTCGACAGTGAAGTAGCTCTAGCCTCTAAGTTGAGTCTTGTGCTTTCAACTGGCATTTATAAGGTCATGTGAAGTTGGTTGGTATTGAATTATAGGTGATGAAGGTTAATGCTAGAACGGAGGGAACAAAATGATTTGTGATTATTCCAATCCTTTTCTTTCCATTTCCCCAAATTGCCCATGTTGATGTGCGTAGGAAATTTCTCACAAAATGATGTTTGTTCTAACTTCACTTTGAGTGCCTTTTAATACAAGAAGTCAGGAGAGTAGGACAGGGAATGGAAAGTCATAGTTTATTTAACACTCACGTGGCCCTCACATGTAAAATTACTAAGCTCAACAATGAGCACAACATTATACTCTACGTCCTAACGTGTAATTATAATTACAACCCACCAAAGTACACGCATTCTCTTTATATGAACATAACATAAAGATTGTTGTTATTTAATCATCCTATAAATTCATCAAGTTTTGTATTTTCCTGTTTTGTGTCGTTGAATGCTGAAAAAGGTAAGGATAATGGAAACATGGGGTCTTTCTTAGCTTGGAGGATCAGCAAAGGCTAAGGCTACAAGCATGTATTTGATGCGAGTAATAATAAGAGTAACCCGTGTCACTTGGCCTCTACATTATTGCAGAGGAGGGGCAAGCATGCTCAACTCAATGCTTCCTCTCTCTCTCTCTCTCTCTCTTCCCCGCCCCTAATATTAAAATCACGTCATGACCACTCATGCTTTTTATCCCTTATAATTATATTGTATTTCCAATATTTTCAACTTTCCCTTCTTTCCATACTATTATTCTACTATATAGGTAATAATATTACCATCAAATAATTTTTGGTATCAATTTTGTTCTCAAACTTTCAGAAATTTTTAATTAAAACTTCCATCTATTGTTAAGGTTTTTCATCCATATTTTCATCTGAAGCACGCTGTTTTTGTTTTTTTGTTTTTTTTTCAAGAAACAGTGTCATTTATAAAGAACTTAAAAAAAAAAAAAAGTGATTCAAACAAAAAGTTCTTAGTTAAGAAATCAACGGTATATTTGGTGTTTACTCTATGGATTATTGTGGGGGGTGGTGGGTGATGGTGAGATCTCTATCACACACGTAACTTACTCACACCTGCAATATATATGCAAATATAAATGCCCATTTAACATCTACACAAGATCCTTGTTCGATTTATAACAGGCCGTTGGAGCTTCACATCTTAAAACATTCCACCTCTCAATTCACAAGAGTTGTCTTTATGTCACGAAATCTGGCGCTTCAGTGTCTTGCCTGAAATTTCCGTAACTCAGTCATCTAATTTTTATAGCGGGTCTCATGTTTTTGTGATAGGACTGAGGAGAACTTCTGGAATGCCCGATAATTTTTCTAGCGTACTATTTGTTTCGAGTAATTCATTTTGTCATTAAGTTAAACAATTAATACTTCACAAAATTAATATTGATGAATGTTTCTAGATTTAGAGTTGCAATAAATTAATGGTATTTTGCTTTTGATAATAATAATAATTAAATATATCAAATACATGTCTTCTCTGTCCAATATTTTTTTAACATGCCTTCCGTGTTTTTCTGGAAAAAAAAAAAAAAAGCTTGCAACTGAATTTCTGGAATGAATACATGAGGATGTTGATTGACTACATGATTGTCTCTTCTCAATCTATGTTCTTTAACCAAGGTTAGGGTTAATTCTTCTCAATCTATGAATACATGAAGATGTTAATTCTTCAACATCCATCCTCATAAATTTTATTGACGTGCTAATCTATGTTTATAGTTTTGCATTTTGGTCTTTAAAAAGAATTTTGAAGCAAAATACTTAGATGTTTCATGATTAATTCTTCAGCATTCATCCTCGTGTGCTACTTATTATTTTTTTTTTAAATCTCAATCTCTATTTTTATATATATATAAATTAAAAATATTTTTTATATCTCATTTAGTTTTTCAAAATTGAACCGTAATAATGAAAATTTTTGTTTGATGAATTACATTTGCAAGTTCAAAAATCTCTATTAAATTGACACACTGTAGGCCCATCGTCTAAATTCTTTTTGTTTTTTAATCATCAATTAGTCTTAAAAAAATCTCAGTACTAACGAGTAATGATAAGAAATCTAAATTTCTGTTCAATAAATAAAAAGTAAATTAAAATTTAAAAGTTATAAGTGAGAAATATTTATGAATTGTTGATCTCATAGGTTTAATATATTTTGATGTAAATAAACTTTGCATGCATAAAATAAGTCATAAAATTATATTATTATTTTTTCATGAAATTAATAAATCATACAATACTATCTTAATTAATATCATCTATTTGATAAAATAACGTCATTAACATTACACAATATATTTTAATACGAAAATGTTTAAATTTAGATTATGAATATTAAATGATTTTTAAAAAATAATATAAAAAAATTATTTTCTATATTTTTCTAGGACCTTTAAAATATTTAGTTCGATATCAAACTTTAAATTACTTAGTGCAGCGAATATCACAAATAACTTTATATTAATTTTAAATCATTATATTAGATATTAAAAATATTTTATTGCCTTATTATATTAGTACTATAATATATTAATTAATTTCATGTAATTTTATTTATTATTAAAGCAAGACAAGATCAAAAAAATGTTATTTTGGTCTACTCATAAAATTATAAAGTGGGATTAAGAAATCGTGGAATGAGAATAAAATCATCCTGATTGTAATAGGACTCATTGAAGAAAGGTACTTTCAGGATTGGGCTGTTCTAAGCAAAGCCCGTATTGAATGCTATGGTCTGAAAAGAAGCCCGCCTCAAAACTCTTTATTATTATTTATTTATCCAACCTGTTACTTTATTAGATTCGCTACCGAACTACGAAACCACCTAATGCCTTGGGAGATGCTCGTTCCATATAATGTTAGAGTTTAGATGGTTAGTTTTTTTTGTTTTTTTTTAAAGAGTAATATTAGAGACACTAAAAGTTCTTCACTAAATATTTTTTATTAAACAATGTTACGATATATATAATGGTAATACTACGATTTTAAATTTTTTTCTCTAATAAACTCTTAATAAATATTAATTAAAAACTGTGTAATATTGGGAAAAAAAACAAATTACATTAACATTCATCAAAAAGTTAAATTGGATATTTATATATGTTTTATAAAAACATCTCTCATTGTTGTCTAAATTTATATTTTGATCATCCAACGCTAAAATAATTAAAATATGTAAATAAAAACCAATAGCGTTAAAGTCCAAATATAATATAAGTTACATGGAAGTTTACAAGACTTTTAGCAACGTGGGGTAATTTTTTTCTACTTCTCTTTTCTAACAAGATAGCATCTTAAGAGACTAAAATCCTAGAATGCCAACTCTTTGCTTTTAGCAATAAGTTACGATTTAATGCATCCATCTCAGAATAATTTTCCTCTTATGTAATCTCACAATTATATATATTTTTAAATTTGTAAATAGTTTAAGAATAAGAAAATGAGAATTTACAACTATAAGATATTGAGTTCAAGGTTTTAAAATCATTCTATTTACGAGCTTAAATTATTTTTATGTATAATAATCATAATACAACAAATATCGAATCATCAAAAATCTTTATGATCATCTCATCCCTTAGCTGGTACAAGTTTTAGAATCCCATAATCGTCATGTATTTTATTGGATTTATATGAGTAAATTATAAGTTAATCCTTTTAGTTTTGAAAACCAAACTAATTAGTTCTTTTTTGTTTTAAAAACTAATTTAGCACCTGTATTTATAAATTTTCTTGTAATTTAATTATTTTCAATTTATTTTGATTTTTTTTAAAAAGAAAAGAATTAGTCCCTTTTTTATTTTAAAAACTAATATAGTTCCTATATTTATAAATTTTCTTGTAATTTAATTCTTTTCAATTTATTTTGATTTTTTTTTAAGAAAAAAAAAGAATAAATAAAAAATAAAAAATATGAAAGACATTATGAGGAAAAGATGGAATTTTTTGAAATAAAATACTATTCAAATAAAATGGTCAACACTAGTCAATAGACTAAATTATTAGTTTTTGAAACTGGAAAGACTAATTGATTTGTTTCTTGAAAATAGATGAAATAATTTACAATTTATTTGATTTTATAATTGAGTGATAAATGAGTGTGGTTACCAAACGGTTATTGAAAAATTGACATCTAAAAAAAAAAAAAACTTAATTGAGAGATACTAAGAGTGTAAATAAAATGCAATCCAACTCCTATACTATAATGCACTTTTAATAAACTAAAGTACATTGAAATGGTTAACATGATATTTGATTAAAAAAATTTTTAATTGTGCTACACCTAATAAAAAATATTCAATATAGATCTTATTTTGAAATTGGTATATGGGCCATCTATTATTTAAATTTTTTTTAATTGACGCTTTGTTTCTTTTTAACTTGATTGAGATCCTTTATTCTTTATTTAGTTTTGATCGAGACTTTTTGTTATGATGTCATTTATCATTAATCGGACGTGGTACATTGCTTTTAGACTCAACCAATGAATGATTAACACATGATATTATGAGTCTCACAACACAATAGAGAGTCTTATGAGAATCTCAATCGAAACGAAATAAATAATAAAAGGTTTTAATCATGCAAAAAAAAAAAAAAGGATTTTCGGACTTTTAGTTTACTATCATGTGCAAGTGCATAATTAAAGCTAAAATTTAATATACGAGAGGTAATTGATGACATGTTTAGTCTAGAAAATTGAGAAAGAATAGAGGGTTGTTTTCTTTTTCGATCAATTTTGGATTCTTCGTGATAAGAAAATTGAGTAATCAATCCTCTCATTGCTACTTCATGTTACCTTTTTTTCCTCTCGTTACCAACTTCATTATTTCTTGATTCACTCATCATCATTTTCTTTTTACTTATTGGGTGTTCTTTTGAGTTTATTGCTCTTAATTTGATTTTTGAAATTTGTTGCTTCTTATTGTTTATACATCTCTTTTGTTGATTTATGATTAATTTACTTGATAAATAAATTACATCAAAACACGATGAAATAACCAAACCAAACATAATTAACTACCCATTTCTCCCTCTTTTCACTTTTCCCTCCACCACCACCATCATCATCATCCATTTTCTTCAAACTTTCAATGCATTATCATCTTACTCTTGCTTTCTCTCTTATCTAACTTTCCCCTACACCAATATCGTTGTCTATTTTCTTCAAACTTTTAGTACACTATCATCTAGAAGGAAACCTTCATAAAAACCAAGAAAACCACAACTAAAGTTGAATTTGATAGTGGATTTGTAAAGTGGTGTCGCACAACCAGCACAATTGTAAACTCCTTTATGAAAAAACTTATCATAGTCTATAGTAAATTTTGCCTTGAATATCAATGAAACACCATCACCATCACATTATCATATCAAGATCAATTCAAGTTACCCGAGCATGATTGCCGCCATTACCTACAAGTTCTAATCCAATTTATATATCAAACAAATTAATCATAAATAAATAAATAAAAGAGTTGTATAAACAATAAGAAGTAGTAAATTTAAAAAATCACGTCAAGAGCAATAAAACACAAAAGAATACCTAATAAGTAAAAGAATAATGAGTGAATTAAGAAATAACAAAGTTGACGATAGAGAAGAAAAGATAACATAGTATAGTGATGAGAGGATTGATTATTCGGTTCTTTTATTACAAAAAATGCAAAATTGCTCGAGAGAGAGAACAACCCTCCATTCCGTTTTAGTTTTCCGAACCAAACCTGTCATTAATTCCTCCGTATATTAAATTTTAACTTTAATTATGTATTTGTAGATGATAATGCACTAAAAGTTTAAAGATTTTTTTTAAATTCTTTTTTTTGACTTGATTAAGATCATCTACACTTCATGTAGTTTTGATTAAAACTCTCAAAAGACCACTTTCTTGTATTGTGGGATCTATAATGCCACATGTCAATCATTTATTAGTTGACTTTAACAATAACGTGTTACATCGGATTAATAACAAACAATATAGTAATAGAAGATCTCAATCAAAATTAAATGAAGAGTACATGGTCAAGAATATTGACAATGTGTGAATAGCTACAAAACACATAACATGAATTCTAAACACACATATCATGCTATCATTATGTAAGGCTCAAGAATATTGCTTATGTATCATTAATTAAGAAAAAAACATCTATGGCTCATATTTCATATTACATATTATTATAGATGGATTAAAATAGAACCCAATAAATACATACTAGGCCACCGACCATAAATTCGTATAATTTAATAGGCTAATGGTTGCGAGAGGTCCATCTACTCTTCCTTTTATCTTTATTGTGTCCCTTTACTTTTTTTTGTCTTAAATTCATTCTTCTATGTTTGGTTTTTGTCTTGATCTCCTTCCTTCATTAACTTTTGGACTAATGACATTAATTTTTTTCTTGTCTTAAGCTCACCGTCTACTCTATTTTTCCATCTTAATCTTCTCTTTTTTAATACCAAATTTAAATAAATAAATTTTGAAAAATAAAAAAAAGTTTAAGATATACCTAGTCATTTTCTCTAAAAAAATTAAAAAAAAAGATAAAAATATGTTTTTATTTAAAATATCCTTTATGAGTTTAAATTTATCTATATGAGCAAGCAAATTTCAAGTATAAAATGAAATAGTTATAGCATTTTTTTTTTAATGTGAAGAGAGTTTTAGTTAATTTTTAAATTTTTGAATGATATTTATAATATATAGCTCAAAAGAGTCTTACAAATTTCTTAATTTTAAAACTTAACTAAAACTCTCTTGACATTTATCTTAATCTCAACCTCTACTCTATTCTTCGAGTTTTTAATATTTTTTTTAATATCAAATTTAAATAAATGAATTTTGAAATTAAAAAAAATAAATAAATAAGGTGAAGATAATAATATTTTTGAGTATAAAATGAAATATGTATGTTATTTTTTTTAAAATGTGTCCCTGTAATAGTAAGCAACTTTTAAGTATAAAATAAAATATTTATAATATTTTATTTTAAATGTGAAGAGAGTTTAATTAGTTAAATTTTAAAATTAAGAAATTTGTAAAATCAAAATAAGTAGATTATAGTAGACTCTATTGATGTATTATCAAATTATAAATATCATTCAAAACTTTGAAAATTAACTAAAATTCTTTTCGCATTAGAAAGCAATACTATAAATATTTCATTTTATACTTAAATTTGCTTACTCATAGAGATAAATTTAAACCATAAAGGACATTTTGGATTAAAAAAATATTTTTAGGTTCATTTTTTTCTTATTTTTTAGAGAAAATGATTGGATATATTTTTATTTATATATATATTTTTTATATTTTTCAAAAATTATTTATTTAAATTTGGTATAAAAAAAACAAGATTAAGATAGAAAATGTAGTAAAGGGATGAGATTAAGATAGAGAAAATAAAAACAAATAACGTCGTTAGTCCAAAACTTAACAGCGAACGAGATTAAGATAGAAACTAAACATAAATGGATGAACTTAAGACAAATAATAATAATAAAACACAAAAAAAAAAAAAAAATAGAGATGCCTCTGCAACTATTAACCTATAATTTAATAATATAAGTTGACTTCATTTTGAGCCAGGGTGGCAAGGGCCAACTTCAAATAATTGAAGTTAAGTAACAAGAAATTAGAAGATGTTGCTTTGGTCATGGATGATCAAGGTGGTGGTGGTGACCTGATTGTTAAAGTGGGTATATTTCCTAATATTTCATTCAGAATTTAAATTTAGGGAAGGTTGCTAGAATATATATATATATATATATATATATATGAGAATACATCCATAATATTATGGATATGGATGATCTGTTAAAAATTTGACTGATTTTGAAGAAAGATTGGTTTAATTTCTATAAATAATATGATGAAAACTCTGTAATTAATGTTAATAGATGAGAATGAAATAGGCGATTCCAACTACTCCAGATTTGTGCATCCCTTTTTATTTATTTTTGCGATGCTTTTGAAAACAAAGTAATATATCGAAGTGACACCACGCAACACCTAAATATGCTTTTAGTAATATCTCCGAAGTTGTATGGAAAATGTTTTTTTTTTTTTTCCAAGAAGGAATATACTTCAGAAATGGATCATAATTCATTCAGACATTCTTCATAATTATTTTTAAATTTTATTTGTATGTTCTCGAGTACAGGGTTACGCATGAAAATATCTCTATATTATATTGATTTGATTTATTATGTTCCTCTATTGTTATTTTAGTGTATTGTATTTTTTTACTATATTTTTTTAGTTCATTATATCTTTAAGTTAAATAATATATTAACTATAGTTAGCGTTAGATATGTCGCATTCAATCAGGATATCATACGTCAACATTGATTTTTTCTATTCTCAAATAATAAATAAAAAAACATAAAAACTACTTAAATTAGAATAATCTTTTTTTTTGTGTGTTTTTTTTAAAATATTTTGTTAATTATTTGACAGTAAAAGAAAAAGAAAAACGTAATTGAAATTCTCATTTTGGCATATAACAAACGGATTGAATGTCATGTATTCGACACTAACTATAATTAATATGCTATTTAACCAAAAGACATAATAAATTTAAAAAATATAATAAATCAGAATAATCAGAATAACAATGAAAGGATATATATAGTGAACCAAATCAAAATAATACATGCACATTTTCATGCTTTTAACTCGTTTGCAGTCATTACCGGTCAGAAAAATTAAAAAAATGTTGTCATTGCCTAGGTAGTCCTCCTTTATGATAAGGAATAAGAGATGAAGTGACATCAACAATCGCCCCTCAAAACAATCCAACCTACAGATAGAGTGGCATCTATCTCCCTTTCATGCCCAACGACAAATGCCAAGAACTCACACCTTCCCCATTATTTAAGCCAAAATGTGCATCATCAGACGGCTAAAGCCGTACCTACTCAGTTCTATAATATTACCACAAACCATAAATTAAGGAGAAGATAAGGTAAATTACATCACGACCAAATAATTTATGAGAGAGGAGAAAAGCAAGGAATCCCAAGGTCTCCTGACCTAATGTATTTTCCCTCTTTGTTTATAACCTCATAATCAATACCAATAAACTACAGCACCGAGGAATAATAATAAAAAAACAATAAATAATCAAATGCATCATCACATTTCCATTACCACCACCACCACCAAAAAGCCACCTCCTCTAATCCGTTTTGGGCTGTCATTATGAAGTTCTTGGTAGGATTTTTAATATTTATTTGTAGCCATTAAGCCCTTTAATCAATAATTAATTGTAAAGGTCAAATAAATTAAGTGATAATGATAAGAATGCTTAGAACAAAACTAATGCTTTTTCAATTTTTTTTTTAAAAAATCCAGTGTTAAACTGAAATAATGTGTCCACATTGTTTCGAGATCTGGAAAATGCTGGGAGAAGACACTTGTACTAAATCTACGTGCGATTGGGAGTGGACTCTTTTATCTCTTAAAGTCTAACGTTGAGAATTTGAGATCCTTAGAAGGTACTCCATGCCTCAAGTGATGGCGATCCTCAGAGAAAATTATAAATTAGTTTCTTTAATTTTCATAAACCAATTAATTATAATGTTCTTTTATTTTAAAAATTAACTATTTAGTTTTTATAATTTTATTTTTATTTTTTATTTTTATAAATAAAAAAAGAAAAAATAAGTAAATAATATGAAATGATTGATGAAAAAAATGATATTTTTAAAATAAAATAATATTAAATGAAGAATGATCAATACTGATTTAAAAATTAAATAATTAATTTTATATTTAAAAGTAATAATTAATTTATTTCTAAAAAATAAAGAGATTAATTTATAATTTACTAGGGATCATCATAGCCTCTCTTTACTTGATAAAGGGGTCTAAGGTTTTATATTTTGATAATTTTAATCCCTGTACATTAATTTTATGCATAACAACTCTCATACTTTCAATTCATCGTCACATGATGTCCTTTCTTACAAATCATGTATGTTAGATGCTTGCCATATATTACTATGTTTTGTAAGTGTAAATATATGAAGAATGTTACATGTCTGTAAACGAAGGCTAAAAAGACTAGAATCAAAACATGTCCACGAGCCTCTCTCTTGTCTATAAACGAAGTAGGTTCATGTGTTGACTGCCTACACAAATTCACCCTCCTTAACACATAGCCCAAGTTATAGGCTTGATTGTACTTTTAGAACATTTCAGAAGGTGGTAAAGTATATATATATATATTTTTTCCTTATTGTTTCTTTGAGCAAAGAACGATGTACATCTCACAAAAAATGAATAATTAAACAGAGTAGAAGAAGACCAATTCATTTCACCAGAATTATATGGAAACAACATGAACCACCACATAAAAAAAAGGTGGTTAAAAAGGAAGAGAAGGATAAGGATATATATATATAGATGATAGACACATAACATCACCCAACTTAAAAATATAGCAAAACCCACAGTGATTGAAAAGACAACTTTCACCCTAAATATTTTTATTTACAATTCCATTGCCATCTAAATTTCCATGAGAAAACCCTGGAAGGCAAAGGGAGAGAAATTGCAAAAGGGACCTTTTCATAGAGACCTGCACTCATCCATTGACCATGAATTGTTATTATTCTTAAGCATCACCATTAATTACAGAAGGCTTAAGCATTGCTCCTGAAGGATCCTAGAGCCTTAATAGCTCCTGCTCTAAGAATGTATTGGTGGTAGAAAGCAGCAATGGCAGCTCCAATGAACGGTCCAACCCAGAAGAGCCACTGTAACACAAGGCGAAGTTAATAAATAAATAATTACGATAAAAATGATCTTGTTATTAATTCTTAATATATCTACAGTTTGAACCATTGAGTTTAGTTGGAAAAAAGAAAAGAAAAGAAAGGAGATTAATTAAGAGGAGAGCAGTGAGATGTACATGGTCATCCCAGGCTTTATCTTGGTTAAAGATGACAGCAGCTCCGAAACTCCTAGCAGGGTTGATGCCAGTACCAGTAATTGGGATTGTGGCAAGGTGAACCATGAACACAGCAAATCCAATGGGGAGAGGTGCCAATACCTTGATAGCGAAAAAGATAAGGAATATTGAAACCAATAAATAAATAATAATTAACGAGGTTTCTTGATGGCCTTTTTGAAACCCTTTAAAATTAGCTAGCTTGACTACATGATCATTGAAACTCAAATATTGCAGGGTAATATATATTTTTGTGAATTACTAGCTACGAATCAAGGTTAGTACAATTTATTTACATAGTATTAGAGATTACTATTTATAATAATCAGATAGTTTCTCCTGCATCCTTGCTATCCAACTCCTAAAGAAGCTAACAAATTCAATTCAAAATTGTAGTGTGTATTACTGAAGACCCCACAAATCAAGTTTTTGAGATGAGAAAAACCAACGAAGTCAGAAAGAAAATGACCCTCCTACCACAACAAATTAGATTCAAGAAAAAGTAGCACCAATACTTACAACATATATATATATATTAATGAACAATTAATGAATGAGGGATAGAATGAACAGTGAGGTACTTACAGGAACATGGGAGTCTCTTGCATTCCTCTTAGGATCAGTGGCAGAGAAGACAGTGTAGACAAGAACAAAAGTGCCAATGATCTCAGCACCCAATCCAGTGCCCTTGTTGTACCCTGAGGCCAGCTCGTTGGCTCCACCTCCATAGTGATTGTAATAAGACTTTTGGAAGCCCTTGACCAAACCACAACCGCAGATTGCACCCAAGCACTGTGCCACCATGTACAAAACAGCCCGGATGAGCGATACCTTGCGTCCCAAGAACAGACCAAAGGTCACTGCTGGGTTAATGTGTCCTCCTGCATGTGTACAGTACGTACAAGTTAATTACAGTAATATTAATCAAACAGGACTCTGAGTTGTCTTAATTCATGTGTGTGTGTGTGTGTAAGCTACACTTTCTTAATTTTGTTTTGCAAGCAAACAAAGGAATTTTAGAATTAATGGTGATTCTGAAGTATAAATATAATTAACTAAGTTGAGGTAGTTATAACTGACCAGAGATACCGGCAGTGCAGTAAACAAGGATAAAAATCATGCCACCAAAAGCCCAGGCAATACCAAGAACGCCAACACCACCACAAGCATCCTGGCCCTTTTCTGGGTCAGTTTGGCTTTGGTACCCAATAACAGTCAGAACTGTGACATAAAGGAAGAGAAGGGTGGCAATGAATTCTGCAATAAGAGCCCTGTACAACGACCACTGTCCTAGCTCCTCAAAATCAATCAATGGAGCTGGAGGTGGGTCCTGGTAGTCCTTCACTGACTCTCCAGGCTCTGCAACTTCAACGTCCTTTGCCATACTAAATAGCTACTTCAACTGTGTTTTTCTTGCCAGAGAATGAGAAAGCAGAGAAAGACTATTGCTTAGTATTGTGTTGTGGTTGGGCATGTGAGCACAGAGGGGGTATTTATGGGAGAGAAATTAAGGAAGTGTATGGATGAAGAATGATTAAAAGGGTATTTCCTTCGAGTGATGACACAATTAACATAAATTTTAGCCGTCCATACCCCTTGATTTCGATTTCTTTGCTTGCATGACCCCACCAGGCCACCACTAACAATTTAGCTGCAACGGTTCCCATCCCAATGGGTTAATTCAGGTGTTGAGAGAAGTGATGATACAGGTTGGTCATTGATTTTTGGCTCATCAGTCCAAACCTAAGTTACATAAGAATTAATCTCCAAACTTAAAATTTTAGATTGGGTTTCTATTTAACTAGTTTTCTTTTAAAATTAAATCATTTTGTTAAGTTTTCATAATTCTAACATATATTTATAACTTCTCACTAACTAAAATTTTATAAAAACATATAGATGTTTTGTTTTGTTTTGTTTTGTTTTTTTCTCTAAAATTTGTTTCTTTTCTCCTAAATATTAAAAAGTAAACAATTAAAGAATATTTTCAGATAAAATAAATAATTTTTGAAAAAAGAAGAAGCAAAACATCCATAAATTTTGATACATTTTTAAATGTTGTAGAATTTAAAAAATCAACAACATATAAGTCAAGTGTACTTCTACCGTTAGAATTGATGAAAATTTAACAAAAGATTTTAATTTCAAATAAAAAATAATTAGAGATTGATCCAGCTTGAAATTAGAAATTGAAGACCTCATTCTCAATTAAATTAAAATTAAGAGAAGGTTTGAATATTCTAGCACTTGATATATATATATATATATATATATATATATATATATATTATTTTAAATTAATTTAAATTTAAGTTTTTTAAATGGTATAATTATTATTCCCATAAATATGTGCTTAAAATTATTTGAATATGAACTTAATTTCGTTTGACGTATAAAGTAATATAATTTTTTTTATTATCTAATTAAAAAAAATAAAAATAACATATACGAGATATGAAATATAAAAAAATTTTCTCTTGAATTTATACGATCAGGTTATGGATATATCCATTTACACTGCCAAATTGCAAATTTAGCTGCAACGGCTCTCAATTAATTAAAAGGATCGCTCCTTTTTCGTTTTCCTGTTTTTGGACAATAATATCTCGCATAATTTGATATAAATCAACCGGTTTAACACAAGTTATACAGAAGTAAATTATAAGTTAGTTTTTCTAGTTTTATAAAATAAATAAAAATTTTCATTTATTTTAAAAACCAATTAATTAGTTCTTATGTTTATAGATCTATTTGCATTTTAATTTTTTTCAATTTTTATCCTGTTTTAAGAAATAGAAAAAATAAGTAAAAAATATGAAAATATTGATGAAAATATAAAATATTTTTTGAAAAAAGGGTTTAATGGCGAAAATTACTTTCGTTTTATTGCAATTTAACAATTTCAGGTATTTATTATTAATTTGCATGGTTGAATCATAAAATTTCTGGTTTTGAACAAACCTTATCTAAATTCATTAAGTTAAAATTTGTTCTAATATTTTTTTTTGTTGTTAATTTTTTTAAAATATTAAAAATATTTTCCCTCCATTTTCAAGAGAGATTCTTTCTATTTAAAATTTTCACATATTTGATTTTTCATAGTCAATTAAATTGTTATTTGTATATAATTTTTTTAATTTTAAAAAATAACTTTTATGCAATATCATTATTCATTAAAAAATCACCTTTATAACTAATAAAATACAAATATTTATTGGTTGAATTTGATCGATTGAAATTATCGGATAAATAATTTTAACTAAAACTTGTCTTTTGTCATGCCAATAAATTTATTCTTGAGATTGTCAATTATTAAATTTTAAATTTAACTGTATTTATTTATTTTATTTTTTTATCTTCACATGTTTTATAGGATTTTTTTTCATAATTGAGTCAAATATATAATATGCATTTAAAATTTTTAGAGTTAGAAAATCATTTTTTTTAATTTTTTTAATTTTATTTTATTTTTAATTTTTTAAAGATAGGTTCAAAAATTGAAAGCTATTTTTTAGGGAGAACAAAAAAAAATTAGGGATAAATTTAATTAACTTTTTTTTTTAATTTATAGGTAAATGGATGGAAAAAAAAACTCTCTTGAAAAATGAAGGAAAAGCATTTTAGTTTTTTTTTTAAATAAAAAAAATTAACGGTCAATTAGGTTGATTGTTACAATTAATCAATTTGTATAAGATTTGCCTAAAATCGATATTTTGAGGTTCAAATTACAAAAATTGATAATAAAGACTTGAAATTGACAAATTACAATAGAATAAGGGCAATTTTTGCCGAAAGACCATAAAAAAACTAATTAATTAATTTTTAAAACAAAATGAATTTATTTTGCAAAACTCTAAGGACTAAGTTATAATTTACTCCAAGTTACCTAACAAGTGTACAAAGGTCATTTTCAATTACAATTACACCCAAGTGTTTGACCTTTTCAAGGAGTGCCCTTTGTCAAATAACCAGGTCTTTGTTTAAAGCAAAATCTAATTAACGCAATACCTATTTCATATGTATTTTTCATCAGCTCTATCACTCATCCACTCAGTTCATATAAAATAAAAACCAACTTAAACAACCTCTGGGATTATGTTGGTTGAGAATGGAGATTAAGGTAGATATTGTCTTTCGGTGCAATATAAATATATAAAAGAGGTTTTTCATATTGTCCAGATAAATGATTATACCATCAAATAATTTAGAAAAAGAATTTGAATTCATAATCTTCTTGCTTAAAACTTTTTGTAAAAACTCATAGTCATTATATCAGAAAACTATTAGTAAGCATTTCATATCATTGGTTTGTGTTTTTCTTTGAATTAAAAAAGTAATTATTAATTATGTTATCAAACCAAATAAATTAACAAAAGGGGTTCGTTATTCTATGTTATCCAACAAAATAAAGTAAAAAACTTTATTACTTTATAGCAATTATTACATAGCGTATCAGTATTGTTGTGCATGTTGGTGGCTTATGATGGTTTGCCAGATGAACTTAGTTATCTGGACACACCTAAAAGACCCTAAAAACTTTGCAATTATATGACGATGGTTATGCTTATCAAATTAACATAAAGCTGGACATGCATCGTTGTTTTTATTATTGCAAGCTCAGCTGAACATAAGATTGCAGTAAATTAGTTTAGTTTATGATTTTGTCTCTGTCGTCCCTTTGTGTCCCTTAACCAAAAAAAAAAAAAAAAAATACAGATAGCATGAATGTGAGGAAATAGGATAGTATTAAATGATATAAAAAATTAAAAATTAGCGACTTGTCATAATGCTTAATTTTTTTTTTAGATAAAACTAAAACTCAACTATCCGTTCAAATAAATTCATATATTTCAATAATTTTGTATTAAATGCAATGGTATTAAACCCGGATGGCCGAATCCAAAACCCGACAATTTGGCTATATAATCTATCCGGATTGATGTTAAAGATTGGATCTACAATAAATCTTGTCAAATCCAGCAAAATACTGTAAAATCCAATCAATTTTCCCTGACTCTTTTTAGTTAACGAAAAATTATTATTTGTGGGATTTGAATTTGAAATTTTTAGCTTCTAAATTTATACATCCAGCGCTTCATTATTTTTTGTTTATAATTCATACATTGCAAAATATATTTACATTATCATATAAGTGAGTTAGGGTTCCTACCAATAACCTCCCAGCTAGATCAATGACTCGATAACCCAATAGTTCGACTGGATAGCTTTCTAAACCGAGTTTAATAACATTGATTACTGAGAAGAAAGTTGGGACCAAGTTTTCACTTTATACATTAGAGTTGACTTCACATAGCAGCTTTCCTTCATGCTAACTCTAACTTCAAATGTTCGACTCTTACGGTGCTCCAATTGAACAGCATTCAATCATTTTTGGTCCGGCCCTGTTTTTAACCAAAAAAGAAAAGAAAAAAAAGCAATATTAATAGACAAAATCTACTAATTGCATTCTGTGTTTTCATAAATCTGTAAAATAAACTCTTTATTTTTAACGGTCAATTCAACCCATTGTATTTTCAATTGTTGTCAATTAAGTATCATTTTCAAAAGCAATGATTTTTATATGCAGTCCAAGTAAAAGTAATAATATAATTAAGCACCATATGTATTTCATAAAAATGTCAAATAAATCCTTATATTTATGATTCGGCCAATTCAACACGTGTATTTCCAATTGTGGTCAATTGGATATGATTTTTATACATAGTGCAAATAATAATCATAATAATTAATTGAGTAAGAATATTTTATGTGAGTCAATTATATATGAATATATATTTTTTATTCGAGTTGCGTATAAAACTTATTAATTTTGAAAATCATATTCAATTGAATAAAATTAAAAATATACATGTTGAATTGACCAAATTGAAAATAAAAAGACTTATTTAATAGATTTATGAAAATGCAGAATACAAATTAATGAGTTTTACCAAATATTAATAAGCCCATGGGTTTTTTTTTTTTTTTTCCAGCTATAGGCTCCAAAAGAAGCTTAACCCAACCACCTTTATCCATTTTCTCCCTTATGCATGCAGTGAATAACTGGTCAAATATATTTCATGTATTTGTACTATATCAAAAATATCATTGTAACTCCTCTACCCAAATATACTTCATAACAAATCTTATACTATTGTATGTTGGTGCAAAACAAACTTTTCATTAACTTTTTCTATTAGATTAATTGATTTTATTAGTTGACTAATCAAGTAGCGATACGTGTTAACTTAAGGATAAAAATATAATTTTTTTAAAATAAGTTTTATTTTTATTTTTTAAAGCTAAAATCATTATTATAAAATCATTAAAATTTGATTTTTTTTAAATTTTAATGATTTTATAATAATTATTGATAAAGAAAAT